TATTGTTCAGATTAATAAAGTCTTTTGCATCCGTTGACATTATCTTCGATTAAAGATCTGATAACCACAGTGACTGTGCATGTATACTTTAACGACCGGGGTAGTTTTCTTATAAGTTTTTAAAAGTAGTAACCTCCCTTGTTAATGTGATGTTGTAATCAATCTATTTATTTGTACCATCTTTATATAATATTATATTGTACAATTTAAATATATGATTCGTTTAATATTTAAATATAATAATTTATTTTTTATTAAAGATATAAACTAGGTAATTTGAAAGGCTTTGATTCATTTATCACCGTAGTTCAATTCATAAGTCAGGCGGTCTATTTTGTCTACATTATGTTGAAAGAACACCGGGGTGTTTACATTGGCATTATTTACTATCAATGACTGTGAAACAAGAAAGGAAAACATTGTACATTATAAAACGAGAAATAATTAAAATTAAATACAAAATTTCTTCTTTAGTGAAATCAAAAACGAAAAACGGAAACACTTTAGATTTTCATTTTGGTTTTAGAGAAATTAAAAACAAAAAATGAAAACACTTTCGTTTTCCGTTTTGGTTTTAGAGAAATCAAAAACGAAAAATGAAAACACTCTCGTTTTTTGTTTTTTGTTTTTGATATTACAAAATGAAAAACGAATGGATGCAAATATACACGGTCCCAGGAGCCTGTAATTCAGTAGTTGTCGTTTGTTGCTGTGTTACATATTTGTTTTTCGTTCATTTTTTGTACATACATTAGACCGTTAGTTTTCTCGTTTGAATTGTTTTACATAAAATTTTGTTATTTCGGGGTCTTTTATAGCTGACTATGCGGCATGGGCTTTGCTCATTGTTGAAGGCCGTACGGTGACCTGTAGTTGTTAATTTCTGTGTCATTTGGTCTCTTGTGAAGAGTTGTCTCATTGGCAATCATATCACATCTTCTTTTTTATATTTATATCATGTATCATATACAAAGAAGAAATCTACCAGACTTGAAACTAACGAAAATGAACCATTGATTGTTACTTATATGACTTACACGATTTTGCTCTTGAATGACACGATGTAGTTTAGACTTAATATACATGTATTTCTAAACATAACTGTTTTTCCATTTTTTTTTGGGGGGGGGGGGTTATTTTTAAAAATTAAATTACTTACGTGAACAGGCATTGTTCTAATGAAATAAATTAATTTAAGATCCAAAAGCTTATAATGTTTTACGTCAGACGCGCGTTTCGTCTCCAAAAGGATTATAAGTAACGTTCAAATCAGACATGTTAAAAAGCCAAATAAAGTGCAAAGTTGAAGAAAATTAAGGGTCAACAAATCCGGAAACGTTTTGCTAAATACAGCTAACATGGCTAGGGTAATTGTTTTCTGGGGTAGAAAATCTTTAGTATTTCGAATAATTCAAGGTAAAATAGATAACAGGATTATTAAAACGGCATCAATACATTCAACAGCGTGTTTTGTTTTTTTAATTTACCTTATAACTGGTGATACCATTTATTTTAACACTCCAACGGTGACTGAGGAATATAAATATAATCACTTAGTCTTCTTTCAACTGGCAATAAAATCTTTGCCAAATTGGGGCATCCGTTTGGTTTTGTGGGATGTATAAAGACGCTGCCATGTCCGGTCAAAATGTGGATGTTAAATCAGATTCCACGGGTGGAGAGAGTGCCATGGCTCTACGCGTTAATATCCCTATCAACAAGTCTTTGAGGGGTCCGTAGGTAGCCTGTTACTAGGATAAAAATGTCCATCCCTATCCAAAACACCCTCATTTTCCAGCGGCTGTCCAAATTTCCCGTCTGTATCCCTATTGTACTTATTATTAATTTGTTTTCGTCCTGAGCAAGTATGAAATATTTGCCACTGGCCGTGAAGCAAAAACAATCAATCGATTTATTTTTAAGTAATGATTTAAGCGAAATATTACAGCACGCAATGTTTTAAGAATTTGATTCAATAATTTTTCTTTAACAAAAATATGTTTATCTTTCTTACTTATTACAAGTAGCCAGTGTAGTCACATTGCCAGCACAGAACAATAGAGGTTTTTTATTTTAATGTTTGTTTTCTTCTATTATTTTGAATTAGGAACAGATAAGCAGCTATGCATCTCATTAAACGTTACCTAAACGATTTTGGCTGTTTTCTTATTTTACGTGTATTGATATTTGTTTGCTAAATATTGAGTGACACATACCTTAGGACAAATAGTGGTTTGTACAATAGGCGAGTTCTACACAGTAGTTCGACCGGGGCAATGAACAAACATTGAGGTCTAATAACGAGGAATGTTCGACAGGGGCAACATTTTAGCCTTACAGAATGGCAACTACGTAATGGATATTGTAAAGGGTTGTTGGAATGGTCCTTCAACGTACAGAAAACATAATACACACCCTATCAGGAAATAATTTCACCTTTTCAGTTCGACCGGATAAAAAAAAATTCTAAAGGCTCTTTAAAAAAAGACAATCAAAATATGTCCTTTCTATTCAACTGTGAGACAGAATTCTTCCAAATGCATCGATTCCAAATTAATACGGTCTATGCTAATCGTATGTTTATTAGAGAATAAAATAAGAATGTGTCTAAGGACACGAATGCCCCCGCTGAAGCTTCAAAACGGAAAGGGGGCGGAAATACGGACGAACGGACGGTCAAGGGTAATAATTAATGCCCCCATCACCTACGGGGGGGGGGGCATAATAACCTGCAGACAGCGCTTTGTAAAATCTTTTTTATAAAACGAACAAAATGTGTGGTTACAAGCCGATCGGTATTGATTGAAATATGGTCGATGTTGGATTCTTTAGTTGAAGAATTAATGTCTTTCTTTTTTTGTGTGTGTTATTTTCCACACTCTATGGTTCAAAACGATGAGGTCAATTGTCTTATTTTTTCTAGTTATCGGTAAAACTGCTGTTAATACCGCCCATCGTGTAAATGTGCAGTAAAGTGATCAACATCATCAAAATTGATACAGTTTGTCGGCTACGTATCAAATACGTCATAACGATCACGTGATCGTTATCTAATTAATGAATAATCATCGCTTCTGACACGCTTTTGATTCCTTTACCTAAAAATCGCCGACTGATCAGGTTTTTTTTATAGCCAAAGTTACATGAAACATATTTTAAGACTAGCTTTTAATGATTAATTTCTAGAAATGCAAAACAAAAATAGTGTCACGTTGCCTTCAAAATCTAAATGATTTAAATTTTAATTAACATAAAAGTTTACACTCCATTTAAACTTTTACTGACGCTTCGAATGGGACATATGTCGTTGTGAGATTTGAAGCAGTATCTCTGCATGTATGCTTTTGCTTGTATTTCATTATTTTGGACATCAATCAGGCCGATATCATTATGATGCAGGGTATTTATTCGCCCTTAATGTTTTATAAGGTTACGCAATTTGATCCTGAAAGTATGTCCGTTTTATCCTGATTTTTAGTTTGATAACCTTACGTGTATTGGTTTATTATTTTGAAATATGTTCCACTGTAAAGGAACAGGAACGATGCGATAATTTCCAATGTAAAAAACAAAGAGAGGATTTTTTGAAAGTAAGGCGATTTATCATTCTTCCGACATGGACCGGTTCGTGACTTAAATTCTACTATTGACTATTTGTGTCAGAAATAATCCTCTGGTACGTGTATATAAATTATATCTATCCTACAGCTATTTGTACCAATCTTTGTTCATCTTTTCAAAATACCATCTGGTACGTGTACAAATGTATATATTTCCGTTAATAAATGTTAAATTTAGTAAGAACTAAGGTTTCAACTCCCTCAAGCAAAGTTGACTTAGTTGGATTTTGGCTATTTTTTTTATGCATTTTTTTGGTAATATAGCTCTTCAAATGTTAAAGAATGGATTCAAGTTCATTGAATTCTCACCTATTCCTTCACAATTTAGTAGACTCCCCAAACTGTCGTTGTGGTGATGTAGAAACACATTCTCACTTCCTGTTATCTTGTCCCATATACACTGGTTTACGACATGAACTATTAGCTTCTGTTTCAGTTCTTCTGTCCAAGTTGACACAATAATTTTGCTTTTTGGATCAATGGTACTCTCAGATGAGCAAAATAGTCATTTATTTAGTTTAGTGCAGAAATATATTATCAAAAGCAAACGTCTTAACCCTTGATGTTACTGCTTCATCATTCAATAGGAACCCAAGCATTTCACACTGTATACATTACAAAAATTCATGTTTATTTTGTTTCTCTATTGTATTTTCCACCTTTTTCATATTTATATATTTATTACAGAGCATATCAGTATTTATATTTATGTATTGTTCAATAAGTGTATTATTTGTGTAATAGGAGATAGATTTGTAAAAGCAAATTTGCTTGTTTCTGAATCCTTAATATTTATTTCAATTGTATCATATCGTTTTGTGATGATTTATCTGAATAAATATTGTTTAAACTAATCTGTTTAAGCCTCCGGCCTTACTATGTGTTGAATTGTAGACTTCATTTTTTAATAAATTATCTGTAATCTTACCGACTGTTGGGATTAGTTTTAAAGGAGAGGCGAATGATACCAAGGGACATTCAAGCTCACAAGTCGAAAATAAACTGACAAAGCCATGGCAATACACGAAAAAGTCCAAAAGACAAACAACATTATACAAAACACAACATAGAGAGCTAAAAACTGAGCAACACGAACCGCAACAAAGAACTCTGACATACTAATCTGTCAAAGAACTTTTCTAAATGCTCTTTGGTTTGGTTGTTGTCTCCTTGACACATTCCCAATTTCCATTCTCAATTTTATAGAATAGTTAAATCTTGGATGATTACAATCGAGAACTGTTCTAGGGAAAAACTATTCTAAATGACGTAAACTAGTGTCACTCTCTGATTTTGTACGATTAAAGTAATCTTTTTGTTTCTTCTTTATTGAAAAATGAATTAACGTTATCAATACTGAATAAAATTTATTTGCAACATAATAGTGACTAAATAGAAAGGCTCTGCATTGATTAGTATTTTATTGAAAGTAGGGGATGTGTAACAATTTAAAATAATCAATATCAACTAGGGAGAGTGAAAGAAATATTTAAATGTGTGTTGATGTATGTTAAGTACTAGCTAGTGTATTAAGTACATCAAGAATTGAAGACAATTGAAGAGTAAAAAGTACATGATATATTCAAATAAATTTGTAAAAGTTTTTGTTAACTGCTTAATATTATCGTCGAACGCACCATTAGGTTTTATCTGAAAAATAGAAACGAAAAATTTAACATCAAAAAGTTAAGGAAAAAAAACCAACCGTAGTAATATAAATAAAATAATTATTGGATACCATGTTTTTCATCTTTGTAACCTATGTTAACATGCGTATACTTACACTTTAAACATTTAAATTCACGCCACTGCTTTCACATGAAGGCGTTCCTCACGGAGGATAACATCATCAAACGTTCAAATATAAGATTTCTTATCGGTCAATGATGTCAGAAACAAGGAAAGAGTGACATACCTTTCACTTTCAAAGCACCTTACTTACATTAACCCGAATAATTCATTCCCTCCCGTAATCGTTCTCTCCTACTTGCGAGGTACTTAATGAAGTAATCGTAGATCAGCGGAATATAACGACGGAATTATTCGGGATATACTTACATTACTGAAATCATGTAAAATTCAATTCAAAGGACTGCACGAAGGGAGAATTTGTAATTATCTCCCTTCTCATCCGGATAACTGTACAACTAAATTTGACTTGTTTATGCTTTGTTTTGTAATGCAACCCTCGGGCATAATTCTAGTTATTAAAGTTAAATAAATAACGGGAATTTTATCCAATTGATCAAACGAAGTGCGGATTTGGGCTAAGAATGTGATAGCTCACAAAGTTTTTTAAACATTGCATAATTATGTGAAACGAAGTACATATTCTTATCACAATCATTTGTTATGTATACGATGTGGAGACGAATGATCTGATTGTGTGCACTTTAATTTTATATAACGTAGCTCTTTACCTGTGTGTTTCTATTGACCTTCACATGCTGCTTGGCCATTGTTATCAACGCATACTTGATCCGTTTGACACGGGAACGGAAAGCATGGATCTGTAACTATGTGGAAAAAAAACACCTTTAGATGATGCATTTTAATAACAAAAATAATAATAACAATGATGATAATAAAAATTGTATTAAGGATAAAAAAGAATGCTAAATTTGTCATTTCGGGGCCTTTTATAGCTGACTATGCGGTATGGGCTTTGCTCATTGTTGAATGCCGTACGGTGACCTATAGTTGTTAATTTCTGTGTCATTTGGTCTCTTGTGGAGAGATGTTTCATTGGCAATCATACCACATCTTCTTGTTATATCTTAAACCAAATTTTCCATAAATATATTAAAGGTAGTTCCATCTAATCTAAAAAGAAGTGGATGTGTGTGGTATGATTGCCAATGTGACAACACTTCACCAGAGAATAAATTACCAGAGACCAAATTAACAAAGTCAGGCTTACGTACATTAATTGCCCTGACAAAGTATTTAATGTAACATTTATATGAAAGAAAATTAATTGGTTCCATGTATACATGAATGCATATATAAATTGACACCAAGATGTCGTTAAATGAAATTGGATACCAAGCATTCATCATGCCGTTCAATAACATATGGTCAAACGGTGAAAGACCCCCGTCCTTAATTATTGAAAACTATTATTATACATTAACAATAATATCGTGGTGTAAATTAAATACACCCATTCGTGCTAACGTCCTCATGGTGTATCTTATACATATATGGTTCAATGGCAAATACGAGATTGTTCTCGCATTTACTTACAAAATATTTTTGCTAAATGAAAACAAATTTATTATGTCTCATATGTTGATTTTTATCTAGATATTGAAAACGATAGTCGGTTGAGAACAAAACGACAAATGGAATGATTAAGCTCCCCAATTTCTGAAATTTCCATTTCCATGTAGTAACTTTCAAGCAAGGCCTGCATGTGAAGTATACATCTCTAAGTTTATATGATTTTCCAGAGATTACGTGTCCTATCATGATTTCCTTGATGGAATGTTGCTGTTTAAAAACACGCAATTGAACAATTGGTTTCTAATAGCAAAATTGAGTTCGAGTTCTTACGGACGCCATCACGACTAAGCTCACTGATATGGAATATCCATGTCGCAGATGACCACGGATATGTTGCATTTGTTGTAACTGCAATTCCATCCTCTTTTCTGCGATTTAGACATCAACGATTGAGACTTTCATTCGAATTCGTACATACCAATATCAACATGACGGGCGCAACATGCTGATCAGGATCTGATTACCCTTCCGGCGTACCAGAGAACAACCCTGGTTTTATGTGGGGTTGCTTCATTTTATTCCAATTGCTTGCGTAGATTGATCTTCATTTATGAGCCTACGATAATCATCTAGGTTCACACATTTTTGACATTTTTCTTGACTAAACCTTTTAATTACATCATCGTTATTATATCTGAACTGTTTTAGGATGGTTTATAATACATACACAGGTTGGTTGCACGTTAAAATATTATGTTTTTGTCGAAACGAAACGTTTAGTCACGATTCATAACGGTGAGGTCACAATTTTGGACGCTTGGCTGTGAAAATCAAGTATTATAAATATTAAAAAAGCAAACATCTATCGGATATTCACTAGCTGATATTCTTTTAGATATTGATAATTACGTTTTATATTTTTGTCTTGCATATTTTCTGTCGGCCTTCTCTAAATCGATCCTAATGTTCAAATTTAGAATTTAGCAATAGCCCTACACAGTTAGGTATTTTTGCTTCAATATATATGTTACAAAGATGTCGATGCGAGAACAATATTTTGTTGGATAAGGATATTGCTCATATATTATATTAAAAAAAAGTATGTGTAGCTTGACACTTTAAGTCAAATTCATCAATAAGATACGATTATGACGTCACAGTAACATAATACATAATACATGTATTACAGTATTTTCGTTACCAGTAATACCATGTTATTCATTAATTAATAAAATTAATTTAAGTTTGAAACGTTTGGAGATTTGTATGAATTTATAAGGTCCGATTATAGGTTATCATCAAACATTAACATAAAATGTTTATTTCCTGTATTCTGAATTAACAATTGTATGCAGTATTTTATTTAGTAGCACAAAGTCAGATTTAAGGTGGTACATAACACTACAGGGAGATAACTCTGTAAAAATCAGCTGAACGTTTTAATCATGTTCTATTGTTAAGATAATATTAAGCTTCTCAATGTTCAAAATTAGTGTTTGTCAAACTACTATATATCCAATGAAATTTTTTCGATAAAGTGTGTGGTTCAAGTTTTGTAAAATTTTTATATTTTTGTCAAAGGGTCAAGGTAAATATTTTGTCAAAATTTTATGAAAATTAAACGAGCCAAATTAGTTTTAATCAATGTGTTTGGTACCACCTTAACAATGTATGATCAATATTTTCGCATTTACGTTCACAACGACTGCCCTTCCAACCATCTAGACATTTGCAAATCTCCATTTGGCCAAGAGCAACTATACATGTACCTCCATTCGTACAAGGACCTGGGCTACATAAAGTTGCTGCAACTAAATTAATATGAATAATTAAATATTAACACAATAGTTATGTATAGCCAGTCATAAATGAGTGTTGATTTGAATGTATCTAGTTTAAACCTTTCATTTAAATTTGTGTTTTATCAATAATTTTTAGCTTTGTTAATGGCTGACACTTTTTACAGGTACACATAACTAGAGGCAGTATAGAGTCTTTGGCGCTGACCTATGTCTATGTGCATCTTCAACAATTGACACTCTCCAACATTTACTAATAAACCAATTTTGGTCTGAACAGCACTTAAGAGACCGAACAATACATTTTCTGTATATCAGTCAAATTCAAGACGTTTTCATTGCTGTAATTTCAGTACTGTTAAGATAATTCGCCTGCAGTCAATAAATCTGTTCAGTTTATGTCCAGACTGTTCAGTAAGTGTTTTTACCAGTACACATCAACATCATACTGAATTGTCTTAAGAAATACTAAACAGTACTGAATTGACTACAAGCAAATTATCGGAATAGTACTGAATTTACCGCAGTGGATAAGTTTGAAAACTGACTGAAATACTGTTCGTGACTGAATAATATATTTTTATTTTCAGACTTTTCAGATGATGTTAAGATCAAAATGACAGTTTAATACTACAATTGATTTACAATGTGAGTGTACACCAGAATATAATTCATAACAAAAATCTTTGTTTTATTGATCTTCTATGGCTAATAATTTTCTGTTTACGGTTTCTGTCTATCTTCTATAGTTTTTGCAACAAAAAAGGTAAAAATTCTCATTTACGGGTAATAACTCCTATAAGACGACAACTGACAATTTGATTCATATGTATGCTGACCTATTGACCTATTTGAAATTCTTGTCTTCCTTACCATTTTTGCTTTTTAATGTTTCTATTTATCTACATTATGTTTTATAGTATTTTTAAGATAGTTGGCAAAAACATAAAACATTGGTAAAAGTTGTCATTTAAGGACCCTTACTCCTATAAATAGTTGACCAATGATTTAAGATATCCGAATTATTTGTAAATCTTGCCTTGTAGGTCATGTTAGCTCTTAAAAGTTTAATGGCTCTATTATAATTTCAAAATATTAGGCAATAACACAAAACAATGGAAAAATTGTCATTTAGAGGCAATAACTCCTATAATGAATCGACTAACGATTTCGGTCATGTTTGGCTTGTTTATTAATCTTGTCTTTGTAATCATTTTTTGCTATTTATAATTTTATTCATTCTATTATCATGATTATAATTTCATGATAATAAGCAAAATTGGAAAATATTAGTAACAATTGTCATCAAAGGGCAATAACTCCAATGAGGATTCGATTGCCAATTCGGCAATGCTAACTTATTTGTAAATCTTGTCGTGCAGATCATATTTGCATTCTAAATTTTCTTTATCTATCTATTTTAGTTTTCAAGATAATAGAAATAACGCAAATTTTAGTAAAAATCGTCATTAAATGGCCATAACTCCAACAAGTACTTGGCTGACGATTTCGGTCATGTTATCTTATTTGTAGAACTTGTCTTGTTGATCAATTTTGATCGGAAATATGTGTCTTTTCCTAAAACAGTTTTCAAATGAATTGGCAAAAACGCGAACATTTATTTAAAATTGTAATTTAAGGAAAATTTCTATCATGCTACATCTTCTCTATCTATAGCGGATATCAAGATAATTAACAAAATTTACATTTTACCCATATGTAACTTAAATAACTCTGCCATATTTTTTGGCAGGCGAAAACATTGGCAATATTTTATAAACTAAATACCCCAATACAGATTATGGCCAAGTTTGGTTAAAATATGCTATGTAGATTCAGAGGAGAAGAAGTTTGTAAATTAACGAACAACGGCGACGACGACAGGCGCCTGGAGATGAGAACAAGTCATACTGACCCGGATGAGATAGTAACAGATTTAAGATGTGAAAAATAGCGGTATGTGTATTATACTATCATTATTTTTACTAATGTTGCGGATTTTAAATAATGTTTTTATGTTGTATAATAATCGTCGTTTATGTGTTTCCGCACTCATCCGTTCAGACCCGAATTTAAATAATAAAACTTACGATGTACAATGTAACATACAAGTGTCTGGCCATTTCGAACAGCCCGAAGTTGTCTTTCTTCCCGACAAATATATTGTGGTTCTAGCAGACAAAGCCTTACACAGTATTGTTTTAATATGTAAAAAGCATTACTTGGAGTGTCTCACTAAAGAACTTGGAATGCACAGCAAAACGGGGAATCCCACATATACCCGTACATCATTCTCAAAAGACGAAATTTTATAAAATCAGTTCTTTTCTCATTTGGTATTAACATAAAAAGACATCTGACATCTTTATACTGAATTCCTTAACCTCATTAAAATTCTTTTAAAGAACGATATAGAGCTGTGTTGTCAAGATGTTTGACTTCGCAGCTTTTTAAAGTTCTAAACACCATGTTTTCTACAGCAAAAAAAGTTGCCTTCAGAAATACTGTGATGTGGTATATTTAACCAACGGTGTCAATCAGATGTGGATTTTTTTAGAAATCTAAAAATCTTAGTATTCTACTCCAAAATCATCAATTACAATCATTAAGATATTGGGGTAATATCAAAACATTTGATTTTTAATACAATTATTTGTCATACTCAATTGAACAATAAAAAAATTAGTATATCGTCTCTAAAAACAAAAACGGGAAACGTAGATACAATTTTCTTGCTTTGGGTCATAAAAAAAACTTACTCAAAAACTGCAACAATAGAGTTGTGAGGAAGAACGACTCAAATCGATACTACATACATTTTACGATCACCAACGCAAATTGGTTGACTGAAACAATGCGTCGGTGTCTTAACTTACTAACATATGTGTTCGCGGCCGTAGATTTTTAAGTACCGGAATACTTGGACTGATCTGTTATTTTACCGATAGTGTCCTATTCTCGACTATGCGAGTGTGGATTTGCATTGCAGATGATGTATGTATAGACTGTGGACGCATCTGGTATCGGTTCTTGTTTGGTTAATTTGTATAAATAAGTTTAATACCACAACAAGGGGCTCATGAGAGCCTGATATCGCTCACCTGTAATTTCAGTTTCAGGCATTTGACTTATTTGTAGATCTTACTTTGCTGAACAATTTTGTCATTTACACTTTCTCTCTTTATATAATAATATTAAAGATAATACATAACCCAAAACTGTAAATATCCGAAAAATTAACTATTTCTGGACAGTAACCCAACAATAAGTTGTCCTATTCGTCTGAAAATTACTTGACAGGTAGATCTAACCCTGTTTAACACTTTCACCTATGTCAGTTTTGCTCTTACTGCTTTAGTTTTTGAGATGAAAGCCAAAAACTTCATTTGACCCTATGTTCTAAAATTAGAAACTTCAGCCATGTTTTTGAATGGATCAAATCCCCGAATACAATCTATAAACTAGATGCCCTAAGGAACATTCAAGTTTTTAAGTATTTGACCAAGTAGTTTCAGAGAAGAAGATTTTTGAGAAGTAATTAGACTCACAAAAAATGTAAAAAAAAAAAACTTTTTAAGGGCAATTACTCCTTAAGGGGTCAATTGACTATTTTGATCTTGTTGACTTATTTGTAGATCTTACTTAGCTGAACATTTATTGCCATAGATACTTTCTCTCTATCTTTTATAATATTAAAGAAAATAACCAAAAACAGTCAAATTTAATAAAAATAAAGTATTTGCAACAGTAACCCATCAATGGATTGTCGAACTTGTCTGAAAATTTCATACCAGATAGATCATGACCTATTTATCACTTTAACTCCCTTTCACTTTTGCTCTAACTGCTGTAGTTTTTGAGATATAAGCCAAAACTGTTTTTGTCCCCTTTGTTCTATTTTTAGTCATGGCGGCTACGTTTGTTGGTGGATCAAAACTTCGGATACAATTTACAAACTAGATACCCTAAGGAATATTCAGTTAAAGTTTGTTAGTTTTTGGCCCAGTTGTTTCAGAGAAGAAAATTTTTTAAAAAGTTATAAACTTGCACGAAAAAATGTTAATAAACTGTTAACACAGAGATATGTCTCGCCTATTTGTTATTTTGATAATGTAAATGTTGAAATTAAAATTACAATACTTTAACATGTAAGTTATGCAAATATTCAAAGTCAATGAACCATGACTGAATGTTCAGGGCTAAACAGTCTCCACGGAAATGTGATGTGCCAATGCTAATGCAACTGCAAACCAAATACCATTGACTTTTCATAAGTCGTCCCCTTTAAGCAAACCTAAACACAAACATTAACTTGTAAACTATGTAAAAGTTTCAAAGTCAATGAACCATAATTAAGGGGTGGGGTTATATAATCTCCATGGAAATGAAACTTGCAAATGGCAATACATTTGCATACCGAATATCATTGACTTAGCATTAGTGGTTCATCTTAAACTGACCTCATCACAAACTAATACATGTAAACTAAGCAAAAGTTTCAAAGTCAATAGACCATGACTGAGAAGTAAGGACCAAATATTCTACATGGAAATAAGATGTGCTAATGCTTCTACAACTGCATACCAAATATCATTGACCTACCACTAACGGTTCCCCTTAAACTGACCTAATCACAAACTAATACATGTAAACTAAGCAAAAGTTTTAAAGTCAATAGACCATGACTGAGGGGGCGGGGCCAAATAATCTCCATGGAAATGAGATATGCCAATGCTTATACAACTGCATACCAAATATCATTGACCTACCACTAGTGGTTCCCCATAAACTGACCTAATCACAAACTAATACATGTAAACTAAGCAAAGTTTCAAAGTCAATAGACCTTGACTGAGGGGGTGGGGCCAAATAATCTCCATGGTAATGATATTTGTCAATGCTAATACAACTGCATACCAAATATCATCGACCTACTACTAGTGGTTCACCATGAACTAGACCTAATCACAAACTAATACATTGTTGACGCCGGAAACAGCATACCTATGTCTCGATTTTGACTCCGTCAAGGCGAAACAAACATAAACGGTTCAAGGGCAATAACTCATTAGGGAGTCAATTGACTATTTTGATCATTTGACTTATTTGTAGATCCTACTTAGCTGAACATTTTTGCCATTTACACTTAACATAAACGTTTCAAGGGCAATAACTCATTACGGAGTCAATTGACTATTTTGATTATTTGACTTATTTGTAGATCCTACTTAGCTGAACACTTTTGCCATTTACACTTTCTCTCTATCTATTATAATATTAAAGATAATAACCAAAAACAGTAAAATTTAATAAAAATAAACTATATCGGACAGTTACCCTACAATGGGTGGTCCAATTGGTCTGAAAATTTCATACCAGATAGATCTTGACTCATTCATCACTTTTGCTCTAACTGCTATGGTTTTTGAGATAAAAGCCAAAAAAAAGTTTAAAAGTATTAGGCCCAGTAGTTTCAGAGGAGAAGATTTTTAAATGTTAGCAATCATGATGAACAAATTGTGTAAAATTGTCTTTAAAGGGCAACAACTCTTTAAGGGGTCAATTGACAATTTTGGTTATATAAAACTTTTTTGTAGATCCTACTTAGCTGAACATTGTTGCTGTTTACAGTTCATCTTTATCTGCAATAATATTCAAGATAATAACCAAAAACTGCAAAATTTCCTTAAAATTATCAATTTAGTGGCAGCAACCCAACAATAGGTTGTTCGGTTCGTCTGAAAATTTCAGGGCTGATATATCTTGACCTAATGAACATTTTTACCCTATGTCAGAATTGCTCTAAATGCTTTAGTTTTTGAGATATTAGCCAAAAACAAAACTGCATTTGACCGCTATGTTATATTTTTAGCCATGGCGGTCATGTTTGTTGATGGATCAAAACTTCGGGTACAGTTTATAAACTAAATACTCTAAGGAACATTCAGTTAAAGTTGAAGGTATTTGGCCCAGTAGTGTCAGAGGAGAAGATTCTTGAAATAGTTTACGACGACGACGAAGACAGACGACAACAGACGACGGACACCAAGTGATGGAATAAGCTCACATGGGGCCCTTCGGGCCCAGTGAGCTATAACGAGATATCATACAGAAATGCAGAATAGTTGTGTAAACTGCATTACATTGATGGATTACCATATAACCTTTTTGCAATTTAACTACAGATTGATTGATTGATTGGTTGGTGTTTAACGCCACTTTCAACACTATTGTGCTAGTTTCGTGCCGGTCAGTTTTAATTTGTGGAGGGAGCCGAAGTGCCCGGAGAGAACCACGACCTTCGGTAGGAAAACTGACAATCCTAGTCAATTAAGATTTGATTCGATTGCATCTTCCCCGTGCGGGATTCGAACTCACAACCTCAGTGTTGACAGGCTAGTGATACAGTAGTTCGACTACTTAGACCACTGAGGCCAGAAATACAGATTGAAATCTTATGTCTAATTAAGAAGGGTCCGACTCTGATAAAAGTTATTTAAGGTGTCAATCCTATTGCATCATTTGACATGTAATGTCTCATCAGGAAAGCTCGTGGTTAAATGTTGAAAAAAATCAACAACTTGATAAAACATGTATGCATGTGGGAGATATAACTTCAAATTAAATTATTTCCTCACTTTAAAATACCAAATTGAAATTAAATAATATACATATTTGCATTTCAGTAATGAAGCACTTAGATTTCGAGCTGGTGATTACTTAGGAGACGAATGTAGCGATATCGAACAAGTGTTAAAAAAAATAAATTTAGTGCTTCTGAGGCGATTTTTCGTAAGGATTTGTTTTCAGTATGTCAGTTGTAAATTTAACAGTTCCTTTGATTTTTTTGTGTGTTTTTTCTGTGCGTGTACTGATTTTGTGTCATGGATGGATACCCCATATCCTTTGTTTATCTATTAAAACAAAACTTACGAAAATATGAATATCAATATAATAACCAAAACTTGTTTTCGTATATTTCGGTAGAAGGTGTATAATTGAATGTCATGATAAAGTAACGGTAAATGTTTTCAATTTAGTCTAAAATATAAGCCCTTAATCAGGCTGTTATTTATAACGTGTACCAAAAACGTAGAAAAGGAAATGAAACGGATGTCTTATTTACTGATATTAGCTTTTTTGTAATCAGATACTAGTATACAAATCATTGAATGAATTGTATGCTTCTTTGATTGAGTCTAACAAATATATCACAATATAACTTTATTTTTTTGATTTTTTACTATTAAGCGGATACCTTGAACTTTCTGAATTAGCTGTTTCAGAATCTAATGCATTCTGGGTAATAATTTCAAAAGTGTACACCGAAACGTCGTAATTGGTTAAAAAAGGTCACAAACAATGGAAATTCAACAAAAGACGTGACGTTATTTTCTTTTTGGCATATGAACACTTAAATTGCCCATAGTCCTTTAGATTCTGAAACGGCCAATTGGGTTTTGGTGGAGAGTTATCGTATTGTCAATCATACAACAACTTCCTAATTTTATATTGAGCTTTAAGGATGTTCGCTCCTCTTGTTTTTTGATTTTTTGTCAGATATTCCGAATCCTCTGGTTTTATCCATGTTTTTCCATTAAGTAATTTTGTCCACTAACCCCTACTTTTCTTTTCATAATTTTATTACATATAGTTTAAAAAGCCATATTTGAAAATCTTATAAAATCTTTGTTATTTTTTCAATGTTTTTGAAAGAAAAAAGGTGCCTATGTTAAATGTATGAAAAATCTAGAGAGAATTATTTCCCGCCAAATTTTCAATGGCTTATATCTCGAAAACAAGCACACGGACCCATCATTTTTTTCTGCTTTTTTAGTTCCTTCATTTATATACTATCAATTTATGACAGTCTTTCAAAAAGCTTGTTATTTTGAAACAGAGTAGCGAACATCCTTAAAGTCCATTTTGTGATTTCATATCCACTTCAAAATATATCCTTTCCAGGAATATATCCTTAGTTTCCTTCTCACCTATGACTATGTTTGTACATCAATATCAATGATATGCACAATATAATGTACACATTATGTGTACGAGCCTAGAAACAGAAAGAAAGGCGAGGTTAGCTGGAAATCTGTTTCGTAGCGAGTTCAATAAATTTTATATGTTCAGGCAATTTATGAATATTGCTTATATCCTGAAATGTAACATTTAGGCATTAACGTATATTGATTTTTACTTCCAAAATTGTTTTTGAATGAAAATTGTATCACTTTGTGTTATATGTACGCCAGTATTTGTACAGTAAAACGGTCGATTGCAGGATAAAACACAAATGTATCGTATACTTACATTCAAACCGGTTACCAGTTCTGCCATTAGGACAGTTACAATTAAATCCGTTTGTCTCCGGTATGCAGCTACCTCCTTTTGTGCAGGGTTTGATAATGTATAACGTCATTAGGTAAATGGGAAAAACAAGCATAGCTCTGTGGGCAATTTTTCATATAAAATCTTTTGAAGGACTGACACTTCTTAAGGGGAATATGTATTTAGATTAGATTTATATGGAATGTACTAATATGAATGAATGTTTAATTGGAGGTAGAGTACAATGTTTATAAGATATCAATACAATATAAACAAAACAAGACATTTTAGCAGGAATCTATTTGAAATAAAGGTTTGAGAAAATATGAACTAGTATTTTGTCAAATGCAAACTCTGATGGGAAAGAATTAAAAAAACAATGAAAAAAAAACACCGAACAATGAAGAAGAAAAAATAGTTAAACATAACATGCTTAACTAAACCAAAATCATCGGCATTCAATGATACTTAAAAGTCTTCAAAAGGATATTTCCGGAGAAGGTATCTGTTAAAGGATACTCATTTATTGCGCAATACGACATAGTAATAGGGAGTTTAGACCGACAAAGATCAATTTTTTAACCAAACTTTCAATCAAAAGGGATGAAAAAAAAATGCATTTACTGTTTTTCTTATTTGTTTTTCGACAGTGTTATTTTCCTTAAATTTATCTGTTTGTTTATTTGGATTTTTCAAGTAATATCTATTTGAATATGTCTTTTGTTTTAATTTGTTTCTGTTGTTAGTTTGTTCGTTTAGTGTGCGTGTTACATTTCCCCTTTTTTAAGAATACTTAGAGACTCACTTTCACATCTGGTGCCGGTCCATCCACTTGTACAATCACATTTGGGTGTGAAATCAGGTTGGACCACACAGGTTCCAAGATTCATACACCAATCCGTTACACAAGGATTAGATGGTGGAGCTGAAAGAAAATTTATTTATGACACGTCCATTTGATACAGATATACTTATTTTATCATCGTGCATAGTGAATGCAGATATTTTAGTTAAATGCAAACATTTGAAGATATTTTTAAAGATATTATGATAATTTGTAATTATGGACATTACACGTTAGATCTCTTAAACCTGTAGATTGTACATAATTTCATGTTAACCTCTCATTGAAAACTATATACTGCAAGACAATTCACCTCGTTTTATCAAAAAGCTTAAATCTAATTGGTACATGCGGGAAATATCTAAAAAAAAAATTAAAACTCAAATAAATGTGTCTTAGGATCACGACGTCAACTCATTAACTCAAAGTAATTATCAAACCTTTAATATATTGTTAAGGATGTTCGCTGCCTTTGTTTTTGACTTTTTGTCAGATATTCGGAATAATTTTGTTTTATCCTTGTACTACCAATAAATTCTCCCCGCTACACCTACTATTCTTTTTATAATCTTTTAATATATATTTTTGAATTTATTTTAAATTTTATAAAAATCATTGTTAATTTTTCATATTTTTGGAAAGAAAAAAGGTGCAATGTTAAATGCATGAGAAATCTAGAGAAAATAGTTTCCCGCCATATTGTCAATTGATTATATCTCAAAAAGAAGGACAAGGACGTGTAATGACCTATAATTTTTTCTGCTTTTTTAGTTCAGTTATTTATATACTATCAATTTGTAGGAGTCTTTTTAAAGGTTAGATATTTTGAAAAAGATGGGCGAACATCCATAAAAAGAAATTAAATTAGTAATATATCAAACAGTTGGATAATTCTCCACATCTGGAGTATTCTAGGGAAATATTTACAATGTGTCAATAAGAAAAATATATAATTGGTATATATATAATGATATGGTTGAAAGGCTATGGTTATATGCTATTTTACGTTTTTTTTGTCAGAATAATAAAATAGCACATAAAAACATTAGACTCTTATTGGAATTTTTCTATAGTATAAGAGCATAAACCATACGTCATCTCAATGCAATCAATATGATACAAAATTATTTCGTGATTAAACATTTTAGGTAGGGTGTATAATCTGCTACCGCTTCAAAACATATGGGAAAGAGGTAAACATTAACAACCTGTGTCGGTGACGTTGGTTGCATCATTTTAAAATTTCGAAGAAAAAGTTGTAAACTATTACTTATAATCCATGTTTGCTGTGTAGTTTTTATCATATATGGGACATTTTGCATTTCATATAATATTTTCAACCTGAAATATTACTACTGACATCAGTGATTTTAACGTATTGTTTAGCATGTACACATTTTTTAAAACTTAATATCACAATAATGATTGTGGCAAAGTTTAGTAAAATTTGGCCCGACGAGCTAAAAAACAAAGGAAAGTAAACAATAAGTAAAACGATCTTACATCAAAAACCTGGTTTGAGATATGGTGCTTTGGAGGATGTAGTAGTTCAAGTTACCGTACCGTATGGTCATTTTCTTAACACAAAACGACAAGAAACAAGATGGAAGTAAATGCAAAGTTTAAATTTTCTTAACACACAACCATCACTAATGTAGATGTCTATTTACATGTACCTGCACATTAAATCCTATTTCAGCATTATTTGTGCACGTTCCCTAATCTAATAAAATTGAGAATGGAAATGGGGAATGTGTCAAAGAGACAACAACCCGACCATAAAACAGACAACAGCAGAAGGTCACCAACAGGTCTTCAACGCAGCGAGAAATTCCCGCACCCGGAGGCGTCCTTCAGCTGGCCCCTAAACAAATATATATACTAGTTCAGTGATAATGAACGCCATACTAAACTCCAAATTGTACACAAGAAACTAAAATTTAAAATAATACAAGACTAACAAAGGCTAGAGGCTCCTGACTTGGGACAGGCGCAAAAATGCGGCGGGGTTAAACATGTTTATGAGATCTCAACCCACCCCCTATACCTCTAGCCAATGTAGAAAAGTAAACGCATAACAATACGCACATTAAAATTCAGTTCAAGAGAAGTCCGAGTCTGATGTCAGAAGATGTAACCAAAGAAAATAAACAAAATGACAATAATACATAAGCTTGGATTGGATCGGATGAGAAAGTATAAACAGCATTGCATCTTTAGATATCAGCATTTATAATTGAGAGTTAATTTTTTGTGACTTCTAATGACATAATTGCAAACGAGTTTGTATTCTGAAGTGATTTTGAGATAAACTGTTTAACATAATGTGTCCCTGGAGCTCCTCCTCACTGCAGAGTTCAACCTGTAAGGGCCTTTAGAGGCTCTTATATTTCCCTGAACTTAACGTGTTTGAAAATGTTGTCAGAGCCGATGTGTCATAGATCAAACATGCACCTCACATTAACACTCTGTCTCTATAAATACCCATTAGTAGAGTGTTATATAACGACGAGCGTAAAAACAACTTTTTTACTGATGACATCATCTAAAGCTAGGTGTATTATAATATCTGATCAGTTATCTTGTTGTAACAAGGTTCAGCATGACAACCTATATAACATACATTTGGTGAATTAGGCTGCTTACTTGAGCATGTAGGTCCAGTCCACCGATTAATACACGCACAAGAAAATTCTGGTCCAGCAGTTCCAGGAGTATTGGTACATACTCCACTATTTGCACATGGAGTCGCTAAACATGCATCTCGATCTGAAAGAAAATAACAGTTTTTTTTATATTTTGAGAGCAGATGTTATGATCTTTCCCGCCCTCTCTCACATTCTCTCTTTATCATGCAAATAAACACACACACAAGCAAACAAACAAACACTTACATACAAACAAATAAAAAAACACACCCTTATTCCATCTTTCTTTCTTTATATTCAATATTAGAAGTAGTACAGATTGCATTATAATCAAAAACAGACATAACATTTTATATAAGAATACGAAAATGTGGTTTAATTGCCATTAACAAAACTTTCCAGCAAATCTAAAATGGCGCGAATGTAAGCAAGTATAGGTCACCGTACGGCCTGCTACAATGTGAAAAATCCCATATTGTATAGTCAGCTATAAAAGTTATATCATTCTATCAGATACATAACAAAACCGAGATAAGGAGCCAACAGGTTAACAATTGTTATTTCCCATCCCATATTTCAAAACAATTCAGAAATGAATAATTTGATGTTATAAAAAGTACACATACATAAACATTCTTGAAATCTCAGGAAAATCATCAGCGTGCAAAAGGGGGAACAGAAGTCCGCAATAGGGTCATTTTTCAAGTCGAAAATTTTAGGATGATACAAGAATGCTGCCTGAACATTGCCTGAACTGACTGCACGGACGCTGAAAGAAACATGCACGAACTATAATTCCACCATTAACCATATGCAAAACGACAAATATACGCTTGATAAGCGCACATGATCTTGCCATTTCGATTCTTAACTTATGGTTCGGATAAACCATCAGCGAAAAATACTTCCTCTTGTTTTTTAACCAACATATCTGACCTTTTGTGTTATTAAAAAAAACGGCTTTCTAACAAAATGAATTTATTAACAAAGCGTATTTTGTAATTAGAGCATAACCAGATTTTAGTCAGATTTAAAACTTTCAACATTAATTTGTTTGTTATATATATAAATGTATATATATATATATCATTAATTTCAATCAGATTTAAAGTTTTTTTTTTAACTTTTGTTTTGGCATTTTGCTTTTATCCAATGGATGAGTCCCTCAATTACACACAGATGAAAACCATATTTTTCTGAAACAATCAATGAGTAAGGTGAATGACAATTCATTAAACTGAATTGTTTCCTTGGGTAAATATTGATGTGATCAGTGCAACGAACTTGTTCTTTTTAAAAAAAAATTAAGGTGGTTCATAACTCTACAGGGAGATAACTCTGTAAAAATCAGCTGAACGTTTTAATGTCGTTCTATTGTTAAGGAAATATTAAGTTTCTCAATGTTCAAAATTAGTGTTTGTCAATCTGCTATATATACTGTAAAATGAAATTTTTCCGATAAAGTGTGTGGTTCAAGTTTTTTATTTTTTTATATTTTTGTCAAAGGGTCAAAGTGAATATTTTGTCAAAATTTTATGAAAACTAAACGAGCCAAATCATTTTAGTCAAGGTATTTGGTACCACCTTTAATTGATATTACAGCGGTATTTGCAACTATTTTGACAGGTATAAGTTATGTGGAAGCGAATCGAAAACGATGGTTTGAAAAAAGACACCTTAATACAATCTGGGATAATATATAAGTATTGGCCTTCCAAGTTCCATTCATGGTTTGGTATTATGCAATTGTAAAAGAGACTTTCCTCTTGATTTAGATTACCAATTTTCTGCAAATCCGGAAAATGATATATCATGATTTTGAGGGCTTTTTTACAAAATTGAATTTAACCGGCTGCTAATATGAACGTATTACTTCAAAGTCTGACTTTCATTAATGTTTGAAACAATAACAAAATCATTAGTACTTTAACTAGTTTTTCAAATTGTATCTTATGTGTCTTTGTCATATTTTAAAACAAACATTACTTTCTTCGGTACTGACATGATAATGCAACTTCTGTTTAATTGGAATTTGCTGTTATCAAAACTATAATTATGATCATTCCTTTTCTAGATTTTGTTTTAAAAGTTTTTCAGGGTGTGTATTATAATTTTGATTAATGCTATAAACGTGTACATTGTTTTCATCCTGAAAATTATTATCCAACAGTTAAGTTCAACATGTAACTACGAGATACTATGTGCCGTCCACAACTTTGAAACAAAGTGTTAAACGAAAACACTCATTTTTATGCAACTCGATTATTTTCATTGGAAGTTGACAAATATTTCTAAGCATTATATTTCAATTTTGTCAATACTTCAAACACTATTCAATACTATTCAAAAAGTATAGAAACGACTAGTGATTATGTTTGACATCGGGAGTATACCTATGACATCACATTGTTAAGATGCCAAAGACGAGTAACAGTTTCGCGATTGTTTTCAGTTATTATGGCATTTTTATGCCACAATATTTACTAAAATGAAGTTCATTATTATATGTGGCAATGGAATGGAAATAACTGTATTGTATTTTAAGCTTGGCCTTCGTAAAACTTTATTTGACTGTCACATATCGTTTACCTAGCTCTGCTATGCGTCGCTAGGTTAACTCAATTTGCGACAACGGATCTACGTCTTTCAAAGGCCAAGTTTGAAATACAATACAGTTACCTCTGAATTTGTATTTTCTTTCCAAAAGTATATATTTATGGCATAGGTTTCGTTAAATGTAGGTTGAGGGCATAAATAAACAGCTTTGAAATATTTAAATATAAAGATATATAAATTAAAGAGACTAAAGTTTACAATGTTCAAATCATCTCGAAAATCGATAAAGAAGAGACAAATCAGGATAACAAACAAAGACATGATGGAATCGCATACACTCTTAAATGAGCCAGCTTTTCAGAAACTAAAATAACCAAACAAAATCTAGAGATGAACTCATTTTAAGTTGAAAGAAATATACGTTAAGTTGGATTTACATAAACAAAGATGTGAAACAAAATAGTTAATCTCCGAAAGAATGATTCGTTGATAAGAATATATACTACAGTAGAATGAATGTGAGTTATAAATGGTAGGTCTTTCGTTTCTGTGTGTCTGGTAATTCGAGAAATCTCTAGATAACTTTTGGTTAGAATGATAGCATATTACAGAGGTAGCGAATCTTAATTGTTAATTTATCGTGAATTTCAACCAAATTATAACTTGAAATACCAGAACAGGAAAAGAAAACAAATACTATGTTCGTGCATCATTATACATTTTGAACTTAAATTGATGTCAACTTGAGCGGGTTTTTGATATATTTTCAAAACTGCATGATACTTCGACAGACTGGCATTTAACATAAACCTCACAAAAAGTTTTGAATTACAGCAATCTACTTACCGGCACAAAGTTGTCCTATCCAACCAGATGTACAGGTACATCTGAAGCCATTACTTCCTTCGGGTACACACGCCCCATTCACACACCTATTTGGAACGCATGGATTTACGATAGCTGAAATATAAAAAAAGTGCCATTTAAAGGGTATTACAATAAGTTAGTGAAGTAGATGTTCTGATATGCCTTTTGTTTACACATGCTTAAATGTAGTCCCCAACAAATCTATGTTACATGAATTATATAAATTAATTACCAATTATGTACATATCTTCTAAAGCAAGATGCACTCTACTAAAACACAAGTGTTATTTTTTTCCTCAAACTGATTTCACACCATTTGTTTGACATCAGAGACACTTTAACACACTAGTGTATGCCAGATGTCGTGCTTTCAATATTTGTCCATTAGTATTGTTTGTATATGGCCACATTATTATCTTACCATGGTCTTTTTTTTTAACGTACAGTGTACTTTTGAACATGATGAATTAGTTGTTGTTGTTGTCTTTTAACTAGTTTTCAGAAATTGCGAATACTATAAGATTGGTCCTTGTGTCTTAAATCTTTTGTTGTAGTTTAATTGTCTTGGGTGTTGATCTGATGTGTCAAGTCTAATTTTTTTTTCAAATGAATTTTACAATATGTTCTTATGGTGTGCTGTGACAGCACTGTCCCAGTTTAGGGTATGTTTAACACTATCACCGTTTTGTGTGTGCCTGTCCCTCGCCAGGAGCAAGGTATTTAGTGGTTGTCAATAGTTGCTGTCTATATAAATAAGAAGATGTGTTATGGGTGCCAATGAGACAACTCTCCATCCAAGTCACAATGAATAAATAGTAAACAATTATAGGTCAAAGTAAGGCCTTCAACAAGGAGTCTTGGCTCACACAGAACAGCAAGCTATAAAGGGCCTCAAAATGACTAGTGTAAAACCATTCAAACAGCAAAACCTCCGGTCTAATCTATATAAAAACGGGAAACGAGAAACGCTGATGAACCACACCAACAAACGACTGTTTGTCTGTCTGCATCCCAGAAAAACACAAACCCCACTAAAGCCGTGGTTAATCCTACGAGTCCAGGAAGAGTAATCAGTTTCTGCTCTACACGTAACAACCGCTGTGTTGTTCATGCAAGTATATATCTGGTGATAAATCTTAATTGTACCATGAAACTAAATAGGTTTTCAAAAATAATAGACTTACATTCACACCTGTTGCCTGTATATGGATGTTTGCATTTGCACGAAAATCCAACTTGAGTTACGCTGCAAGTGCCTTCATTTTGGCATGGATTAGGATTACAACTATCGGGTGGCATCACGGGATCTGAAAGGAAATGTTTAAATTGCATTTCAAAAGTTTTATCTTTTATTTGTTTCAGACGTCTTGTATTTGATTTTAATGTGTGCAAGTACATATCTGGTGATAAGTCTTAATTGTACCAACAAGCTAAATAGGTCTTCAAGAATAATAGACTTACTTTCACACGTGTTGCCTGTAAATGTAGATTTACATTTGCACGAAAATCCAACTTGAGTAACGCTGCAAGTGCCTTCATTTTGGCATGGATTAGGATTACAACTATCGGGTGGCATCACGGGATCTGAAAGGAATGTTTAAATTGCATTTCAAAAGTTTAATCTTTTATTTGTTTCAGCTGTCTTGTATTTGATTTTAACGTGTGCAAGTACATATCTGGTAATGAGTCTTAATTGTAACAACAAACTAAATAGGTCTTCAAGAATAATAGACTTACTTTCACACGTGTTGCCTGTAAATGTAGATTTACATTTGCACGAGAATCCATTTGGAGTTACACTGCAAGTTCCTTCATTTTGGCATGGATTAGGATTACAACTATCGGTTGGCGTCACGGGATCTGAAAGGAATGTTGAAATTGCAGGTCAAAAATTTAATCGATTATTTGTTACAGACGTCTTGTATTTGATTTGGCCTTTTTAACATTTTTTATTTGGGTTTCACTAATGAGCCTGCTAAACGGACTCGTGTGTGGCATACAATATTGTAATCCGTTTATCTATAATGAGATTTTTGGTAAATTTTTAGGCGTTTTTGTAAATTTAGAAAAAAATGTACTGTAGACAACAACACAATATTTTTTTCTAAATGTATGTTTCATCATTGTATCCTCTGAAGTAAAGATTACTGTTAATCAACTAATATTCGCTAGTTATTTGTTTACGTGACTTTCGCGAGTAGAAAAATAACGCGAACATGGCAAACTTGGATTCTTTCTTATTTTACTTCATCAAGTACATTTGAAAATCGCGAAATTAAATCGCTGCGAAGTTTGCTAGAAAGGGATAGACGCGACATAAAGTATCTGCAAACATTGATTTGTTTACAGTATATCACCGATATATTATTTATCTTGTTTTTGTAACCATCTAATTCAGCATTTGTTAATCTATAATTACATTAAAGGTGCAAATTTTATTGCACTAGATGAGCATGGCGACAATCAATGTTTCTTTAGTGGTCATTGAGGATAACATATTTCAAAGTTTATAACCTTATTAAAACGTTAAAAGGCTGATTAAACAAAACAGAACCAATTTTTAATCAAAATTCAGACAAGGAATCAGAGTTATGCATTACTGAGATACATTCATTAGTTCAAATGATTTCAAAATTTTATAAAAGCACATGTAACTAGAATAAAATCAGAAATTCTTGCCAGTGCAGAAGTACTGACTACAGAGATGGTGATACTATCTAGGACTAACAGTCCACCAGCAGAGGTATCAACACAGTGGAAGTAAAAACATAAACGATTCCAATGATATTCCTCGAAATGCGCATTTCGACGATAATGTATCTTCAATAATGCTCGTGAGCAAAATATCTTAATTAAGGATGTTCGCTACTCTGTTTCAAAATAACAAGCGTTTTAAAAGACTGTTATGAATTGATGGTACTTAAATAAAGGAACTAAAGAAGACGAAAAAAATGAGGGTCCGTGTGCTTGTTTTCGAGATATAAGCCATTAAAATTTGGCGGGAAATGATTCTCTAGATTTTTCATAGATTTAAGAATGGCACCTTTTCCCTTAAAAAACTATGAAAAAATAACAAGATGGTATAAGATTTTCAAATATGGCCTTTAAAACTATATGTAATAATATTATGAAAAGAAAAGTAGAGGTGAGCGGGCAAAATTTTTAATGACAGTTACATGCATAAAACCAGAGGATTCCGAATATCTGTCAAAAATTCAAAAACAAGTGTAGCGAACATCCTTAAGTCCAAAACCTAATACAAACGTTTAACAGCTGATAAAACAATAAGCCAAACCTGGTCAAGGCATACCAGTTATGCACGAGGAAGATACATTCCTTAATTTAAAAGATTTCGATATTTATAGCAGCAAATTTAACAATGTTTAAGTATAACTGTTTCCTCGGAAAATACATGTAACAAATCAGGAATATGACAGGTGTTTTCCTTTCAATTTGATTTTATCAAGTTGAATGGACTTCCCCTTTTTGAAATTATCTTGGACTTCGGGATTTTCCGCTAATACTTTTTTTCATATATATATGCAAGCACCACTAGGCTGGTGAAATAACTTTCGTAAAGATTATTGATTCATGAATATCACTTATGAATACAAAACAACCTTAAATGAAACAAGAAAGTTCCCTGAAAAAAAAATGTGTCACAGACCATTAACGATATTAACTTTTTCTATGTCTAAAGGATACTGTTTTATACTGCAATCAGTTAACTATTTTACAAATAACAGGTACACAACTAATTTTTTGCTTTATATACATGTATGTACTTGTTTAAATAAAGTGTCATGTTATGCCGCTTCCATGTTGAGCAAGCGGTAATGTTTATATTTTTTTTTCGTAACAGTTCATGTTGGGTCCTCTTCTTGGCAGTCAGTGTTTAACCTATGTTGATTTCTTTTTATATTAGAGACTGCTATTTGGATTTAACAACTAAAGCTTCAAGTGCCGGGTGTAAACTGCAGGATAAAGACAATATATGTACATTATCGAAAATATAATGTTTTTTTGTACTCGCTACGAAACAGGAGAAAAACTCGGTGATCCTCCCTTTCTGTCCTGTTTCTAAATACTTTTTTTTATTTTTTCCGACAATGTACATATATTGTATATATATATATATATATATATAATGCCACTATCAGATAAGTTGTATATGTTATAATTCAGTCATATATAGTGTAATAATTTCAAGTAGTGTAATACGACTACTAACCAGTATAAGTTGATCCTGTACTACCAGAAGTAAATGTACATGCGATATGGGCTTTGCTCATTGTTGAAGGCCGTACGATGACCTTAAATTGTTAATTTCTGTGTCATTTGGTCTCGTAAGGAGAGTTGTCTCATTGGCAATCATGCCACATCTTCTTATGTTTAAAGGTCCATAAAGAGTACATTTGTTATGAACATTTAGTCTTTTTTTTTCTAGCCATGCCGTTGTCAGTTTATTATCGACTTATGAGTTTGAATGTCCCTTTGATTTCTTTCGCCTCTCTTTTTTTGATATTAAATGATAAACTTGACATCAATTTTGAAAGATAATTAAGTAATTTACAAAAGCCAAAGTTATTTAAGGAATAACTGTAATATTTTGTCTGTCTATGAAGAAATAACATCAAAAATGTGATGCACACTGAATAACCCGCGTACCGGGTTATTTTAAAGTGTGCATCACATTTTTTATGTTATTTCGAATAGACAGATAAAATATTACAGTCATTTCTTATAATTTAATTCTAAATTCCATTTTAAACCGGAGTAAACAATGAAAAAACGTTGATGACGTCACGGTCACATGACTAAATTATGTCTATGAGCTGATAAACAAAACAACGTCAGCCAATCAGCAGACGCGTTACATCCAAAATTAAATTATATTTGTATATAAATCCATTAATCAGTTTGCCAGAAATATCCATAATGCCTTAATAATGAAGAGATAATTAAGTGCTAATCTGCCTAAGAATCAGGCAGTGGTGAAAACATGACAAACAAAAACCCACTCAAGTTAACATTAACTTATGTTCAAATTCTATAATGGTGCTTTCTATAACATTCGTTTCCTTTCCTGTTCTGGTAATTGAAGATTTAATTAGGTTGAAATGCACTAGAAATTAACAATTAAGGGGAGCTAACTCCGTAATTTGCTATCATTCTAACCAAAAATTATCTAGAGATTTCTCGAATTACCAGACAAGCAGAAACGAAATACTAACCATTTTTAACTCAGGATGAGGCTAACTTCAAAATAGAATAGTAAAGTCGGTGGGTTTTTTTTCGGCCATGTGTGGAAATTTTTCTAAACTGCGTGATTCTTTCAAAGACTGGCACTTAATTAGCTAAGTCGAATAATATTTCCTAAGGCTAAGATTTTCATAATTGTTAAAATAGCAAATAACAGACTAGATATCAATATGTATCACACATAGATATATTAACTTAAGGTTATTGAATATTTCAATACTGAACTGACATCATAGTGTACAAACCTACCATTGTCAAAACTATACTTTATCTCCAAACTTTTTATTATAAAACAACAGATAACATGTGTTAATTAATTATCTCAGTTTGTTGAATATGCAGTGTACAATTTTTCATGCATGTTCATTACGAGCAAATATTAAATTTACATAAGTATGTAATGCGAAGCAGGTGGTCCGGATTTAAGATTTAAACATTACTCCTTGAAAGGGGCAAAATTTCAGTTGTAACTGTTGTCAAGAAATATAGCATGCCCACCCACCCCACCCCGAAGGCCAACAATGAGTCTGTAACACAGCGAGAAAATACCGCACCCGGAGGTGTGCCTCAGCTGGCCCCTTAACAAAAATGTGTACTAGTTCAGTGATAATGGACGTCATACTTAACTCCAAAACATATAAATGAACTAGAGTTAAAAATCAAACAAGACTAACAAAGGCCAGAGGCTCCTGACTTGGGACAGGCGCATAAATGCGACAGGGTTAAACATATTTTGTGAGATCTCAGCCCTCCCCCTATACCTCTAGCCAATGAATATATTTATTAATCAATATTCTTATAATTTTTTTTAATCAATAAAACACGTTTAGTGAATTAAACTCCATGCCTGAAAACTATATCAATTTGACCCATAAACATTGAGTAAAATGCTCTTTCTATTCAAAAGCAATGTATAATCACGCCGTATTTACAAATACTCAAAGTTTCGAAGCAGACAACATATCATTGTGTGGCTACAGTTTATTTTTTGTGAAAAAGTGTTTAACAATTTTAATTGAATTTTGCCTATCAATGTGTTTAGCGTTTGTGGTACCGTTGATTTAAATTAAAAACGGAACATTAACCAGGAAAATAACTATGAAATCGTTCGAAACTCTGGTATTCATTGATACACCTATATAAATCCACGTACTAGTAATCGTTTTTTAACATAACTTACCACTGCAAAACGGTCCTGTCCAGTCCCTAATACATTCGCAGAATGGGTCGTTGCCTCGTATCGCACATTTTCCGCTGTTTTCACATGGATTTGGAATACATGGATTTTTTTCTGCAAATACAGGAAAATATACTTCCAGATAAATCATTTTCTAAACTTCAGTTGATGCAATTGACTTATAAGTCTGAAAAGATGAACCATCGGAAGCTGTGGGACATTATATGACAATGAATCCAAAGTAAAACTTTTTCTTTGTGTACTGATGTTTTTGTGTTGCATTTTCATTGATCTATAATCACACCTTCTTAATATGTATCATTAAAAAAAATAGTCTGTTATTTTAAATGAACAATCTTTTGTATCCAATTTGTTGATTTGAAACTACTATTGATTCATTATTATTCGTTGTGTACTTAATTTCATGGATTTCGTGGGTATAGGTAAACCACGAATTGAAATGTCCAACAAAGTATAAATCTTGCGTTTTCGAATATATGCAGTATTTGGCAAAACAACGAAATCAAATATCCAAAAATCAAACTTGGTATCCATGAAAATAAATGAATACACAGTAACTAAATGTTTCTTTTTCAATGCTAAAACGATAAATTTGAAGAAAACACGAAAACACAAATAGGCTACTGGCGTTAGAAAACACACTTTGATATGATATGAACGTGTCTGTTTTTGCTACGATACAATAATATAGTGTTGGGATTCTGGTAACAATGCATTATAAGTCTTACATGCTGAGACATCATTTATTAATTCATTAGTAATCTCATTCAGCTTTATAATTACTTAAAATTTGTCATTTATTGTATATGACAATTAATGATGGTAACATTTTAGTCGATCAATTATATGTAAACACATGAAATATCTGAAGTAAAATGCCTCGGTTCTAGTAAAATCAATATACTTGACACTTCTTACTTTCTTATGAATGTGACTATCTACTCGATGACTGTCAACACAACGTGTGTGTATGTGTGTGTGTGTGTGCTTTGTTTTAGGTGTGGACATTATTTAATATTAGGTTTCATATGAACATAAACAAAATAGAAATATCATATGGATCATTGTGTTATCCATTTTGTTTGATATACATTAAAAACAGTTTAAAACCATGTTTAACAGACGTTAATTGTGTGATATTGTTTGTGACGTCCATTATCGCTGAACTAGTATACATTATTGTTTAGGGGCCAGCTGAAGCCTACATCCGGGTGCTGGATTTTCTCGCTGTGTCGAATAACCATTAGTGACCTTTTTTTACTTCAATAAAGAGTATGTCAGTTCAAACAAAGGCAACAAATAGCTCTCTATTCAAAGAGTAATCGGAAGTGTTATAAAGATCAACGTTTATACTTATCATTTTATTGTAAAATTAATAACATTCTGCTGTAATTTAAAAAAGAAAGCCCATAACCAACTGTTACTGTTACTGTTACAAATGACACATAATTGTTACATGTTCTTGCAATAATTATACGTATCGATGTCAGTACAGATCAAAAATAGCACTGTTCATGGTTTACTTTGATCCGGAATGCTAAAACCCCAAAATCATAAAACCAATGATGCAGATTTTAATAATTTAGCAAAATGAACGTTAAAACAAGAGGCTTATCTACATCATATCAACTTTGATAAAGGGAATTTCAAACTTAGTCTATGTAAATAATTTTTATCACCAGCTAATTTAAGAAAAATATGTTTGAAATCAAGTCAGTGTCAAAGCTGGTGATACCCACAGGTAACAGTACACTGCATGTAAACCTTGATATGATATATAAGTAGTCTTCGTGTGATCCTTTCCAGACTTACCAGTACATGTCCGTCCAAAGTATTCTGGAGTACATCGACAACTGTAGCTTCCATCTGGTCTATTTTCGCACGTTCCCCCGTTTCTACATGGCTGATTGCTGCATGAAATTGGAGGGACTGAAGCAATAATTGTTACAGCATTAGACATAGTTTGATTTAACTGCACGTTACACTTTTAAGGAAATTTTGAGGTTGTGTTTTAAATAGGCAAATTTTGAAATTCTGCTTCATTTTTTGTTTTCCCATATCAGTAATAGTAACATTATATTGTACCAGGTTTAAACCATTGTGATATTTTTGTTCAAGTGAGAAATTTTGAAATAATTTATGCAGCATGTGCAGGTCAAGACAACTTCTGTTTCTTATTTGTTTGTGTCTAGAAGTAGAGAAAAGCGACACATTGTTGAAATTCTATTGTATTATTCTATAAGGTATAGAACCGCTAATTCGGCACGCTCAGAAAGAACATACAAGAAAGTAGTACTTATTTTAAACAAAATAGTTCCTACGCATAGCTGTTATTTTGTCAATAAGTAAAATATTTGGACGATTTTGGTATCAAATGAAAGTTTAAGGACTTGGGGTCTCTGTAGAACCCTTGTTAAAAGTTTCTTTTGAATAATCAAAAAAATATGAAATTATGATAGGAGGGCATATTTGCGCTGTTGCTCAGATCAGAAGTACCTGTTTTTGTACTACCAAACTTCCGGGAACCAGTATGCTCTAATATTTAATTAAAGGTATGTTGATTTGTTTGACACAAGTCAGGATAAGGTATAGTTTTGACATGAAATTATTACAACTTTATCTAAACTTAAGACAAAATAGCTATGAATGGTTGAAGTTGCAGATTTTAACATAGAAAGCAAGGGGCTATGCATTTGTTGTGTTATTCCTTTCAAACATGAAGTGAAAAGAGAAAGATAAGTTCGTCAACTTGCTTATATTTTACAATATTTTCGCAGTTCATATTTTTATGGAAACGATTGAATGATTCGAGTTAATAAAACCAACGTAAAAAATTAAAACAAAACACAAACTTTCTACTCCTACAGACCCAAAATATTTTTTTTATTCAACAACAATATTGCACACGCTGTTAACAATTACTCCACTGACACAGCTCTCTCAATGAAGGTCCCCGTTTAGTTAGAACCAGAAGTTCAGGGATTCTTCAGGTAGATAAACTGCATATTGTTAGTCGTTTACAAAAATAATAAAACAACATCAATAGATAAATAATGCCATTGTAATAAAGTATTTATATCATCTGGCGTTATTATCGGAATTTCATAGCTCACCCGAGATTGGAATGGTTTATAACCTATTTTCAATTTCCATGTGTTTCCGGATAACGGTTGTTTAGATCAATTTTGAAATAGATTGTATACTAGCATTATCTACATTATTATTCAGGTAAGTCAGTTATTATTTGAAAGATTGGTAGTCATACTGTAACCGAAAACAATTGTGCTGTGTCCAAAATGTAGTGTGTATCATTGAAGCAAACAAGATAAAAGGAAGGAGGTTTAACATCTCAACATGAGTTTAAACCCGTCACATTCTTTAGTTTGTCACACAAAAACTCATCAAAGATGCAGTTGTATGTCTTCATAAGATTCATCAGTGGCTGTCAAAACTTTTTAAAATCCAAATCAACTACGAAATTGAAACGTATCAATTCCAGAAAATTATTAAAGTAATTTTTAAATGTAATTGAGAGCATCTCTGCCTTCGAGTTGAACAGACTTAATGCTCCGGTTTATCGTCCATGTGATGAACCTTGTCAGGGGTTTTATGTTCTTAATGTAATGTTAAGTCATGTAATAAAAATTGTCCTAAAGGCAGAACTTTGATGTAACTTATAATTATTGTAATTGTATTTTTTTTTTCATTTGAAAAAATCGTGATAAAGGCAGAATTTTAATGCAACATATAGTTATGTATGTAGTAACATTCTAGCAGTGCCTGCAGTTTGAGTAAATATTGATACGATATCCTGTAATCTTACAGCACATACTCAAAGGTCTGCTTATGTCATCAATGACCTCCGGTAATAATAGCCGAATAAGTAAGAAATATACGTTCATAAGACTAATTATATAAATGCGTATGTGACAATACTGCTTTCATTTTAAAACCGTTAAATAGTCAAGAGATCATTAGCCTTAAAATGGTTAAAACCGTTGACAAATGTCTGGTGACAACGACATCTTCAACACTTATTACAGGAATATGAACCTGACATAGCCTATTCCATTTGAATCATGATAATTGCGAGGATGCTTAGAAATCAAAAGTTTTAATAGAACAGAAAAATAAAAATCCTAATCAAGAAATCAGTAAAGATACTTTATTAAGTAAATTCTCAACATAAGACGGTTTTAATTTTTGGCTTACTACAATTAATTGTATTATCATAAACTTATTGCAAATATTTTATCTGGAAAGCTGAAAACTTTATTACCAAAAATTATTTTGTAAGATCAGAAGGAATTCAAATAGCCATAAATGCAAGTAAGGCTGACAGAATAAAACAGAACATAATAGAATATATTTATAAAGAGGACGAAAACAAACTATATCATTTTTGGATCAACACAAATCTTTTAATTGGGTTGAATGAAAGTGGATTATTTTGTTCTAGAAAATTTTCAAGGGGGAAATTTCCAGCGTGGACCAAAATGCTATTGCGTAAGACTACTACGTGTACTGAAATCAGTAGATTTGTATCAAGATACTTTACGAGTACTCTATCAGCCAGGCAATTATGTCCAATAGCGCCAGTTTTGTTTTTCATACACGCTGAACCCGTGGAGTTTAAAATTACGGCAAATATTGACATAGAAGGTTTGAAATTACCAGGAGATGTGTGGAAACTTTTAAGACACATAATTAGTTATGTTTTCAGATGATACACAGGTTTCTATTAAGAACAAAAAATCGTATATATATATATATATATCATGTATATGTAGTTATTTGTAATACTAGTCTTGTACATGGTAAAGATAGGAAACGACCTTCAGTTAGTGTGCGCTTCATTGGTACTAAGGCATACGTGGATGACAATAAGTCCTTGTTTTTCACTAATAGGAAACGGGGGCTTTCTTTAACATGTTCAGCTTTACTATTCATAGGGAATTAGCCTCAAGTTTTTGTATTTTGTACTTGTATCATATAAGGGATTTTTTATACAGTAATTTCAGACTATCAATTTATTAATACCCCTTCCCCTAACACCTACTTTCAACGTCCTAAATTCCTTATTCTAGTGTAGCAGTTACATTATCGCCCTTTTCAAAACGGCTCATACCATTCTATTGCTGACAATTATTTGAATATTTAGCAATTAAAAAAAACAAGGTAAACTTATCATGCGTATTAAATAGTCTGAAAAAAAATATATGTCGTTGATGACCTATGGTCGATTTTTACTGGAAGTTTTAATAATGTGTAATTGGGCAGCCAAATTATGAAGTGATAAATATTAAATTTGATAAGTTGCTTGTTATACTGTTATAAATCATATAAACATGATAAATGATTTCGTGAAATATTTCACCTTTTTACTGTTTGTATGTATCAATATCATTACCTTCACATAAAGATCCAGTATAACCAGTTTTACATCTACACCAATAACTATGACCATCTACTACACAATATCCTTCATTTTGACATGGATTGTCCTTGCAAGGATCCAGGACTTCAGTATCTAAATAAAATGTAACAGATATTGATACTGACAATATGGATACAAAACACTTTACACAAGTGCATTCCATCAGTAGCTATTTAATCAAAATTCATTAAGGAAGTTCGCTCCTCTTGTTTATGAATTTTTGCCAGATATTCGGAATCCTCTGGTTTTATCCATGTAGTGCCATTCAAACATTTTGCTCGCTAACCCCTACTCTTCTTTTCATAATTTTATTACATATAGTTTCAAGTCATATTTGAAAATCTTATAAAATCCTTGTTATTTTTTCATAGTTATTGAAAGAAAAAAGGTGCCAATGTTAAATGTATGAAAAATCTAGTGAGAATTATTTCCCGCCAAATTTTAAATGGCTTATATATCGAAAACAAGCACACTGACCCTTCATTTTTTTCTTCTTATTTAGTTCCTTTATTTATATACTATCAATTTATAAACAGAGTAGCGAACATCCTTAAGCTATACTGAATTGATAAACAGTTGATAGATATGAATATATCAAGCACTTAATTTTTAATGCATGTTGTGTGTTTCCTGTTTGCATGTTGTGTGTTTAAATGTTGTGTTTGTGTTTGTGTTTGTGTTACCTTATATTCGGCAAAAAGCTCTTAAGAGCTTATGTTTGTATTGTTATTTGTGAACCGAATCAAAATAAAACTTTCGTATTCGTATTCGTATAAGGTAAAAATTAAAAAAAAAACACATAGTAGAAAAATGATGTTTAATTTAGAAGACAATAGTTTCAAATAGATTCTGTTTGCTTGTTACATAATCGTAAGTTATATGCCTGGTCAAAGGGAATTATAAAAAGGGGGCCTTATGCAGCCAACCGAATAATAAATGATTTCATGGTTCAACATTAGAAAAATGTACTACAAAACATCCCTGTTGACCGACAATTGATTAGTATTTAAATTTATTTGTGGTGCACCTCCTCCTCCCATCACACACACAAATTGTGAAACTACTGCTATAAATTATGTTGCTGTCAATGATTCATACAGCTTAACATAGTGTTTTGTTTTGCAACAGTAGCAGTTTTCTTACTTTTCAAACATGAAAACTATTCTCTATATTTGATAATACATAACACGTATGTGCACAGCATCCTTACCCTGACATATTAATCCTGTATATCCAGTTCTGCAACTACATGAAAACTCGTTGAATGGCTTTCGGGTACATGTACCGCTATTTCTACATGGATTTGGATAACAAGAATCGACTACATCTGATGATAAACGAATGCAATTTTTTCAAAGAAGATTACTATTATTATGTATATTAGACCAATTAAATTACTAGCTTTAGAAATAATTGATTTATAAAGTTGAATTTTTAATGTATTCTGTTAAAAGGTTGTAAACACAAACACGGACCTTTTGTTAGATTATGCGAAGCCTGTCATTATATATTATGTAATTTTGTATATGCCAGATAACTGTATTCTCATTTATGCCAATGAGCATGTAAAATAGAAATAATCATTCACATGGTTCAATTCATGTTATGTCTTTTTGACAATACATATATCTTATAGTCTCGATGTGAGTATTAGAGATTTACAATAAGTGTCTGACTCCGACATGAGTCCGACTGCGAGTCATAGTAAGACAGTTTAAATGACGGGGGCGATCTCAAACAATAAAAATATTGTAAACATTGTGCTTTAATCATTATGATACTAATTGAAAAGTTGGTTTCGGAGATTTACAAAACTCCAACAAACTTCAATAATGGCTTTTAGTATGTGACGAGGATACCTCCAAAGAGTTCCCATTACTTTCTATCATTTCAAATCCCCAATAACATGTTCAACGGAAACTCGGTATTCTGTTATATGTCTGTTTAACTTTCTACACTTTCTCTTAAAATGTCTCGGCTATCTGGTTATCTGCTGTCTGGTGTAAGGCGTCACAACAGGATAGCGGTTTAGATATATTTTATCACCAAGTATATACTTATTCAATGGGAAAGGAACGTTTTCGTCTGTCCCGATTTGACGCATTAATCTAAACTGTTGGGCATCGTTCTGATTGTTTATAACAACCTGTGTGTGAATACAGTGAAAGTGTACGTGGCCAGAAAAAATAGTGTTTGTGTGGATCTGTTTGAGGACGATATATTTCTGTTGATTTTCCGTCGATTGCACCTAGTGCGGATGATAATTTATGTCAGGCACCCTCCAGACTTCCCCACTCTTCTAATGTTGGCCAGAGAATTAAAGGGACGTACTTTTCTTTAAAAATTACCAGAGAAACCGTTGTTTTGTTCATCACCGTTGATACGCTGACATCAAATATTAGAGAGAAAATGGTACGACGGATAAGAGCGGAGCCAAAGAACAAAAATCATGACTCTGTTCAGCGTTGAAGAGTTATGAGGTCGGCCGCACCTTTGGGTGAACTGTGCTCCTACATCCCTCAAAATATCTAACATAGTTTCAGGTGTCTCTCCCGTTGTCTCAAAAAAAACATACCTACTCCTTGAAAATATTGCAAATACGTTTCTTCCTGTCCAACAATTCGAACTGTTTCCCATAACTTTTTGATGCAAAGTGCAAAAGGGGGAAGGGGGTGTCTGGAGGAGGTTTCAGAATTACTAGTAGAATCATTATCAATTGTTTGATGATTGTGATTTTGTAATTTGAAAATGTTGTTTTTTTTCTCAATAGTATATAGAACATACACCAATATAAGTGATCAGATAACACGAGCACAAGATTGTTGTGAAAGTATTAGAATTCTGAAAAAAAATCTGTTAGAAAGTGTGAATGAAAAAGTTCTTTCTTCAACTCTTCAGTAAAAAAAATCAATTTGATGAATGGTTTTGTCCTACAAAATGTATCACATTGCAACGCAAAGATTTAACATGGTAAAACTAATTAGTGTACAAATCATTTTTTGAGATCACCCCTATAGCTTACCTGTATGATTTGTAGTCGTACTTGTACTCGGACTCGGAGTCGGACAGTTATTGTAAATCTCTATTAATCAGTTTATGTCTCCTACATATCACATAATAATGAACACTACAATACGCTGATTTCCCCCCACAAAAACGCCATTAAGAAATTAAGAAAGCCCAAAAACATCTCCGAATTTATCTATATTTAGGTAAATTTCGATGTACTTCTGTAATTTTACATATTTAAAATCTTAATCCAATACAATTTTTACCGTTACAGGTTTTTCCATTATAGCCTTCTTTACATGTACAGTAAAAATCTGCTCCATGTGTATGGCAGGTACCATCATTTTTGCATGGTTGAATGGAGCATGAATTTATCTCTCCTATTTAAGAAAATACAAAAAAGAGAAAATATATATGTGAAATACAAAGACTTTAAGAATGATTATACATGCTACCGAAAAATTAGTTATTAGTATTTCTGTGCGAGGACAAAAGGCCCCAAAACTTAAACAAATACTTAGTATCAAGATAATAGACAGAAAACAATGATCGACCTTTTAACCTGTATTTACAAGTTAATCAGGTTAGAATTAGTCGTACTGGTGTTGATGCTAAACAAGGCGATTGATGTTTCAAAGTACTCGGATTTTTGACGGTTTCATATATCATATGAATTGTATGGCATTTACGGGGCAACATTTCCTAGTAAACTCTTTAAGTACATGATTATTCTAAAAGAAAATACACAAATAAGAATGGTTCGTAATTGAAAAGTCTTGTAGAACAGTATACAGTGTTCGAGTTTTAAATATACTTGTGGTCTCTATGTTTTATATGTTAAAAAGGTACACGTCAGTATGCTGTATGGATAACATTTTTGTTTGTTATGGTATGAAGTTAATGTGATGGTTTATAAATAAAAGAAAACGATATAACTGTGTAATACTTTGCCAAATGTAGTTTCAACCATGCTTCTTTCAGAAATATAATAAAATATGTGCCCATGAGCTTTTTTTCAAGATTTTGCAAAATTGTCAAATTTTGTATAGATTATATATGGTAAACCCTTTTTTTCTAAGATGAAATAAGACACACTGATTGACCTTAAAGATGTTCGCTACTCTTGTTGACTTTTTTGTCAGATATTCGGAATCCTCTAGTTTTATCCACGTAGTGCTAATACAAGTTTTGCCTGCTTTTTCATAATTCAATTACATATAATTTTAAAAGCCATTTATGAAAATGGAAAAAAAAATTGTTATCTTTTCATAGTTATTGAAAGAAAAAGGTACCAATGTTAAATGTATGAAAAATCTAGAGAAAAAAATCCTTTCCGAAGAAATATTTAATTAACTATATCTCAGAAACAAGGACACGAACTTTCATTTTTTATGCTTTTTAAGTTCCCTTATCTTTATACCATCAATAGATAACAGTTTTTTTAAAAAGTCTGTTATTTTGATACAGAGGGGGCGAACATCCTTAAATCGATGAAAACGACCAGCTAAATATCGTTGATTTTATAACATAAAAACACAGGAATAAGAAATTGATACGATATTTCAAAACAATTTTTTGTTTTCTGAGAGATTTTGCTGTCGTTGGGGAAAACGTCATAAAAAGGGTACGGTTAGACAGATCGCTTGGTTTAAATTTATAATTTTGTACTGCTCTGAACAACATACAATTGACGTCAAGTTACTCACCAAAATATCTCAAAAAATACTGCTTAATTCAATACTTAGAAATTATGTTATGTTAAAAATAACAGCTAAAGAAAAAGTGGCCAGCAATGTTTTCAACATATCAGTCACATTTGCAGATATACAGCAACAAAAATCTATGAGATTGCATCTGAAGGTCACAATATGGCATCAGAAGGAAAACAAAATGGCGCTTACAATTTTATTTCAATAGTTGGTGTGTTTTAGCCTAGACTTAAAAAACTGCCGGCTGATGATTCTATGATACATGAAGGAAGATTATCCTTTCTTGGGTGAGTTGGCTGGTGTTCAAATATAAGAGCTTTCAAACTTACCAGAGCATCTAGGACCAGTATAACCTGTTTTACATGTACATTTGTAATAGATACCATCACGCTGACAGCTGCCACCGTTGTTGCATGGATTTGAACTACATGGATCATTATAACCTAAAAGTGCAATGCAACATGCATATAATCTATCAATCTGTTTCATTCCTTATTCTTTATAACTAAAAAGTTTCATATTTTCGTTTTTGAATAACCTGTTGTCTTCAGATGATTTCCGTTTCAAGTCCGTCACCTCGTTACTTTCCCTTAAAAGCACATTCTAAATCTACGTAAATATAAAAATAAGCAGACGTGGTATGATTGCTAATGAGACGCATGTTTGTAATTTGATATTAATGTGAATTGTCAAATAGTAATTCTAAATGCTTTATAAGACTAATTGCTACAATACAATGAAAAAAGGTGTCTTCAAATACCACACTGAAACTCTAAACGAAAAATTTAAAAGCAAACATTACTGTTCCAGTTTGGGAAATCAATTGATTTTTTTTTAATGTTTCAAAATAACACATGAACTGGGTTTTACAAATTAAATGTTTTTGATTCAGATTTGATTAAAATTGCAAACGTGAATAATCGATTTATTTTCGTAAAACATTTCATCTTTTTAAGCGTACGCATATTTCTCTGTTCTCTACTGGTTTCTGAAACTCGATCTTTACATGAACCAAACGCAAATCGTTCATTTTAATTGATGAATATGGTGCGATTATTGTTTAATACATAAACCATTTGAAGTGTCAATCTTTTGTGTATGTCCTTTACAATACAAAATCAAAACAATTATTAAAAAATCAAATGCTTACTTTCACAATTGTTGCCATAGTAATCAGTTGCACATTCACAAAAATAACTAGTTCCTTGCCCGGATATATAGCAATGACCTCCATGTTTACATGGATTTGGATCACATGGGTTGTTGTCTAAAAATAAAACAAACGAATTTTGTTTTTCAAATTTAAATATGGTGCGTGTTTGTGTGCATAATTACTAATTATTTATGAAATCCTTATATTTTGGGGGTACATCTAAACCATTTAAAAAATTAACGAAATACAAATGTTCTATTGTCACATTATGAAGACTCTGGCAAAACCACAAAATCAAATATGAACGAAAATACAATTTTCCCTCAATCCACGAAAATTGTTATGCAAGAAAATGAACCAAACCACAGTAGGCAATTTCTGGCCATTTAATCTGAATGAATAACGATGTGTGACATATCTAAGTAATACAGCCACTCAACAACAAATTTATTTAAAATACGTCTTGAGGGCAACATACAGTCTTTGACAAAAGACAAGTGTCTATACACTATATCAAGCTCTAAATCGTCCCAGTTCCGCAAATTAGTACATACATTTTCGTGTGTTTGGAATCAAGCCATAGTATGTTTAGAACCTAAAAGTTTAATCATCAAACTGTGCCTCTGTTAATGTAAGGATGTTCGCTACTCTCTTTCAAAATAACTAGATATCATTGAGATGGGAGTCATCTCTGTGGGCCCCGCTGTGAATAATGTGTGGTAAAATATTTGTATTTTTATCATTGGACATGGGGTTGTCATCTGAAACTAAAGTTTTTGACCTTGACCTTTGACCTAGGAAGTTGTACATAAATTATGACACACCCTCTGGTGTTGGATTATATACATGTCAAGTATAAACTTTGAAATCATAACGGTTCTCAAGATATAGAGCGGACACGATCTTTACCATAGGACATGGGGTTGTCATCTAAAACCAAAGTTTTTGACCTTGACCTTTGACCTAGGAAGTTGTACATACATTATGACAGACCCTCTGGTGTTGGTTAATATACATGTCAAGTATAAACTTTAAAATCATAACGATTCTCTAGATATAGAGCGGACACAATTTGTTACGGACGGGCGGACGATCGGACGGACGGAAGGACAGCCGGACGGACGGACGGACGGACGGACGGACAGACGGACGGACGGACGGACGGACGGACGGACGGACAGACTGATCACTATAGGGCGTCCGCCATTCGGCGGGGCCCTAACAAGCCTTTTAAAAGACTGTTATAAATTGATAGTATATAAATAAAGGAATTGAAAAAGCAGAAAAAAATTAAAGCTTCGTGTGCTTGTTTTCGAGATATAAGCTATTGAAAATTTGGCGGGAAATTATTCTCTCTAGATTTTTCATACATTTAACATTAGCACCTTTTTTCTTTCAAAAACTATGAAAAAATAACAAGGATTTTATAAGATTTTCAAAGTTGGCATTTTAAACTATATGTAATCAAATTATGAAAAGAAAAGTAGGTTTTAGCGGGCAAAATTTTTAATAGCACTACATGGATAAAACCAGAGGATTCCGAAAATCTGGCAAAAATTCAAAAACAAGAGGAGCGAACATCCTTAAGTAACGAACGAAAGGCTATATTTAAAAAGCCCATAATGTTAAACAAATTAAAAGGAAATTGACCATACATCTTTGGTTTCGCTTTACATTAGTATGTATATTCAGGCAAGCCAAGTACAATTGAAAGATCAATTGAACTGCGAACCAAAAATTAATATACATACGTATATCACAGAGGATTCCAGAGTAGCCTTGTGGACATTTACACAAGTAGGTACCACTAGAATAAATACACGTGCCACCGTTAGCACATTGGTTGTAGTCACAGGAACCTGGTGATGCTATATGGAAGCAGAACAAACAAAATACAATATATAATATTAAAATAACGTGTAAGTTTGTAATGCTTGTCAAAATACAGAAGAAGATAACATTCATTTCTTATAAAATATCTATAGTCTTAACCATTTATGCAAATATAATTTAGTTTAGTTCTCAAAAAATAAGTATGATCATATTTTTTTACGATAAAAAAATAATGGCATTTAACGCCTTCAAGATATACATTGTTCTGGAATGTTCGTTTTTTAATGTTCTGCAACGTCGTATTTGGTTTGGCCTTCCAACTTCCAACTATTTTGATTCGAGCGTAACTGATGAGTCTAATGAAACGTAATGCGCGTGTGACGCAAAATATTATAAGCCTGGTATCTTTAATGATATTTTGTCTATAAACATTTTATTTAATTTAACCCAGGCTGGCATCTTATAATTACTGAGTGAGTGTTAATATTATTCTATCTCGTCCGTTAGTTTCTGGTGGATAGTTGTCTCAGCAAAAATACCACATCTCCTTAATTTTATCTAGTATATTTCATATTTCTTATTAATTTGGAAAAAAAATCCGCTTTTCCTTGTTAAAAGCTGATAGTAGATTGCGATTTATCGTCGCAAATTTTGCTTGCCATGGCTTACACCCAACTGATGTGCACACAATTACAGAGATGCAGATAGACCTTTGTAGACATTTCATCTATATGTGTATTTGTGGTTCATGTTGCTCATCTTTTAGTATTTGTGTGTGTCGTTGTTTTCTGTTTGTTCTTGTAGCTGTTTTTTTTCAGAACAGGTTCTGTTTTTTTAACTGAATGCGGAGTGGTTTACGTATTCCATCTAAAACAATTGCACGTCCCGTGTTTCTTCTAACGTTTTGCATGATACACACGCCATGCTTAACAAGCAATCACAGAAATCAACCCGGTGTTAACAACAAGTTCAAAACTCAATTTAATTACAAACGTAATACCTATGCAACCCGTGCAAGTTCAGCTTATCACTTTCAAGGACACGTTTCAAAGAAAGAAAATATGCAAACTTGTTTGAAGAAACTAATAGATCAAATCTAACATTTGTCGCATTACTCATTTCCAAATACTCACATGAAAAGAAAATGTCCTTGAATATCCCATATATAAGCAGATACAATTTTATTATTGAAACAAGTGATGTTGATATATTTTGAGGAAAATTTAGTCTAGCATAATTGCCAAACAGAAATGCAAAACACCTATTTTATATTTACAAACCTAAAGCTCCTCCCGTGCATTCGTGTCCACATCCGTTAGAGCAGCACAGTTGTCCTGGAGCACACGTGTCGTCGCTACTACATATTTCGTCACATGAACCGGCAGTGCCAATTGGTATTGTTGGACACTTCTCTTCCTCTAAAAACGGAAATTGAATAGGGTTTACTTCAATCATTAGCGATAGATAACACAAAGATTTATTATCCATTAGTATGTTAATGAAGTGTCAGAATTTATTCAAATGTGCTCCGAACTTGAATATTGGGGTTTTTAATGTCTCACTCATCTTTTGACCAATTTACAAGCCATTTTGTTAATTCTATTTTTGTATTAATCTATGTATTTGTATGCATGTGCATCCCAAAATAAATTCCTTAGCTTTGGATTAATTGGAAACTTATAACTCCAATTAAACATTGTTAGCATTTTTTTAGTCTAGTTGCTATCTATCAACCAAAAAGTCAGTAGTTCGAATTTCAGTTATCAGAAAGTGCTATGAAATGTAACCATCTATTCGATAATACTAACCGACTGATATGTCTTACGTATTTAGTCTTGTCTTTTTTTATTGTATGTTTGCAATTTTGCTTTCGCTTATATAACATGTGTTGTTAATACCATTTTTAGTTTGCCTTTATAAGTTTTTTGATACATGTATGTTTTTGATTGCTAGTATCAGGAGCCTGTATTTCAGTGGTTGTCGTTGGTTCATGTCAGTCATAATTCGTTTTCGAAAATTGTTTTTTTTTTATAAATCAGTCCGTTGGTTTTTCTTGTTTAAATTGTTTCTCGTATTTCAAGGTGGGAGCAGTAATAGCGGACTACACGGTATGGGTTTGTTTCATTGTTGAAGACTGTACGGTGGCCTCTGATTGTTTTTTTTTTATCCACTTCATTTGAACTCTGTGGATAGTTGTCTCATTGGCAATCATACTACATCTTTTTTTTTAATATAATACTTAATATAACAACTAATCCTATGAGCAATACCTGAGCATAGAGATCCATAATATCTCTTAGGGCATTTGCAGGACCAATTTGTGCCATCTGTGTGACAAGTACCACCATTTTTACATGGGTTATATGGGTTACATGGATTCCCTGCAAAATGTCATAGAAAAGGCCATTTGACACAACGTAGAAATATATTTGTAATCAGAGATAATTTACTCATATAACAGTTGACATGTGATATTTTTTATAAAAACAATTTGGCATTTATAGGACCGATCTTTGCCACCGGTGTGACATGTACAAAAATGTACCACCATCTTTGCATGGGTTACATGTATATGAGTTGCATGGATTCCCGGTAAAACATCTTAAAAGAAAAGGACATTTACACAATGAAGAAATATACCTTTGATTATAGATGATTTTCACAAATAACAGTTGGCATGTGACATTTTTTTTAAATACATGTAACACTTCGGCATTGATTCCGTTTATAACGCGGATTATTATTTTCACAAAAGGAAAATTTTTAAATGAATTTCAATTATATACTAAGGAATTAAAAGTATGTCTATGACAACCAAAAGATATTTGTTTTTTATAAATTATCGTTTTGTTTTATTTTTTCTTTCAAAACCGTGACAATGAAATCAGATTAGCAAGCTGATTTTAAATATAATTATAGTAGAAGATGTTAATTTGCAGGAGTATCGATTAAATATTAGAAAAAAAAACGAGCTAACTCGACGATTTACTCCTTACACACATTCATTACTTTCTATAACATACGCTAATTAAGATTATGTCCAGATGAAAAACATATCAACATCTACTTAACTACATGTACTTCGCCAGTGTAGGATTTAATGGCCTTGGCGTCATGAAACAATTATTACACGTATAAATGTTTGGTTGCTATGCCAGTCATCAATGAACGAAAACTTAAGATATACACCATAAGAATTATTGATTTGTTATCTTTTATTCTTACTTACATTCACATAGTTGACCATAATACCCTTTTGGACAAATACATGTGTAAGACCCGGCGTCTGTTGACCCTACACAAAATCCGTTTTTACATGGGTTTGGTTCACAGGGGTTCGAAATATCTGAAATGAACAAAAACATGTTTCAGTACCAGTATCAATTGACCACACGGGTTAGGGTCACAAAGGTTCACAATATCTGAAATGAAGAAATACATCTATTTATCTACATACATGTTTAAGTACCTGTATCCGTTGACTTTAAACTTGTTCATTCCGCCACACTTTTGTGCCTGTACCAAATCAGGCTTTCCTGACCATGTGTGGTTTTGAATTGTGTTTGTACGGCAGTTGTTTTCTTGTTGTGTTTATTTATTTATTTTTTTTTTTGGTCGGGGGTATTTAGGGTTTTTTACCAGATGAATCGGGTGCAGGTATTTGGTGCAGTCTTTTGATCTGTCGAACACTTTTGGTAATTTCTGTCATTCTTTCAAGTATTACAAAGTATATGGTTTTGGCGTTTGTTAGTCGATTAATCCGATATGATGAACTTCCGAATATCTTTAAAGATTTACATGCGTCAAGTAGATTATGGCTGTGTGGCCATGATCTGTCATACTCAGATTGTTTTAGGCATACGTAATTGAGGAGAAAAAGGAACGACTGATTGTGTAGAAATGAGCATACTGTGTCCGGACAGGTATCATCTTTTTCTTCGGTTTTTAACTTTTTGTGCTTGCAATAAATATAATAGTTCAACCGGTGTCGGTCAAGTTTGATGCAAGGTTCGTGACAATTTTTTCATCATAATGCTGTAAACGTGAATTAACAAAAAGTCATGTAATATCTGTCTCTCGATGTTAAAACGCATTTAACCTTGCCATTTATATATATGTTTTATCGATTTCATTGCCAATGCGATTTGATGAAATTAATCAGTTATTTAGTATTAACATGTACGAATTATTTTATTGAATATGTCAAACAAATACACTGACTAATTTCATCAACCTACCACTGCATGTTTTACCGCAGTATCCTGTCGTACAGGTACATGTAAAGGTGCCATCACCTGTTTTTGTACATACTCCGCCATTGTTACACGGATTAGGATCACATGGGTTACTGGATTCTAAAAAATATAGGTAATTTAAGATAACAGAAGGACAAACAAATGTAGAAAACATAAAATTAACAACATTTTAACATAGTACACTTGAATCAATGACGTAGATAGAGCAACAACAGTATCATATTAACCTTGGAAAACAACGGAGCATGTCCAAAAACAACTAATCAACAAGAAAAACTACCAAAGGGACAAGCAAACAAAAAAATGCGAATTTACTTAAAAAACAACTTTAATCAGAAATGACAGAGTATTACATTTTTACTCTCGTAGGCGGGTCATCGAAACAGCACACTTCCCATTAACTAGAACCGATGAACAATTTCCACATTGAATAGCAGAGAACCACCGTGTATATACGATAATAACTATAATGAATCTTAAATGTCTTCAGTGTACATAAACAGACTATAATCGTACAATGATGACCTGTGTTTGTCATTACGATATCTAACATGGACGAGGATCACTATTTTGTATTCTTTATGTTTTGGGAATTTTTCTTTATTACTTATTTTTGTTTTGCCCAATGCATTTTTTTTCTTTATAGTTTAGCACCCCCCATTTTCAATATATATATTTTTTATTGTATTGCCTATTATGCTTTATTCAGTTGAACACATCCATGGATCCGTGTTTTTTTCAAGTTTGTGTACGTACGTGTAACCATAATTCTATATTTTATTGTAGCAAAAACTCATTTATCCAAAAGTAGATTCCAGCAGAGTTTAAGGTAATCACCAGGACAAGTAAAGTATATGATATTTATAAAAAGAAAAACAGGAAATGATATAAACAAGGATATTAGAATCACTCGTATTTAAACAAAAATTAAGGTGATCAACTTCCATCTATAATAACCCAATACCCCATGTGTTAATTTAAATTATATATATCAGTGGCAGATCCAAGGTTCGATAAAAAAAAGGGGGAGGTTATCGCCCAAAATGATATTTTGTAAACTTTTGTGGCAGACAAATATGTTTTTCGATAAAAAAAAAAGGGGGGGGGGTAAAACCCTATACATCCTATGTATTACAACTGTTGTTTGCGCAATCGGAAATGTTAAATTTGAAAAAAAGATTAAAAAAAAGTAAAAGTACGTCTATGTTTTCTAACAGTTACTATATTTACCAAAAAAAAAAAAAAAAAAAAAAAAAAAAAACATTTGCTGTTTCTTTCTTGTTTTTCGCATCATCTTTTTTTTTTATCTATACACATGGATGCATGGCACTAAATAACACATAGATATAAGAAGATGTGGTATGAGTGCCAATGAGACAACTCTCCATCCAAGTCACAATTTGTAAAAGTAAACCATTATAGGTCAAAGAACGGCCCTCTACACGGAGCCTTGGTTCACACCGAACAGCAAGTTATAAAGGGCCCCAAAAATGACTAGTGTAAAACCATTCAAACAGGAAAACCAACGATCTAATCTATATAAAAACGAGAAACGAGAAACACTTATGAACCACATAAACAAACGACAACCACCGAACAACAGGTTCCTGACTTAGGACAGGTGCAAACAAATGCAGCGGGTTTAAACATAGTTATTATTCAAATGTACATACGGTCGCAGTTAATGCCTTTGTAACCACCCATACAAACGCAACTATATCCGTCCTCGGCAAATTTGTCTTTTTTAAACTGTTGGTAACACACGCCCCCGTTTTTACATGGGTTAGGCAAACAGTAATTCTTTTCTTCTGGTTGTAATCCTGGAAAGAGAATACATAATATACAATGCACACATACATTATTATATGGTGAAGTATTCCAGGTTGGATCCAGGATTTTTGAAAGGGGGCGAATTTCCGATAACCAATATAAATGATATATAAAAAATATTTGGACAATTTTATACTAAAAATTTATTAATACCATGAAAAACATGAGAGTTAAATTCTTTTGCCGATCAAAGGGGGGGGGGGGGGGGGGGGGGCCTTCCCAATTCCGGATCCGCCACTGCATTTAACAGTATGACATTGTTTAATTAAATATTCTACAACCATGAACTAACGAGTTATATTAAGCTTTTTGGTTTTTTCCTTTGCATAACTGTAACGTTTTCATAGGAAGCACGTGAAGTCATGAATGTTGCATTTTATTGAAAAATAAATATAAGTTTGGAATGCCTTGCTATTACTGTCAGTCAATCAAAAGTGCGGATAAGATATTCAATGTGTGTTATATACTGTACTTTATTAATATTCGATAGGTGAATGTAAAACACATGAATTACACTATACATCATAAATATGAATTTCAATAAATGAAATATTAAGATACGTCAATAACATAACAACCACAGATCACCAAAAAAAAAAAAAAAACGTCATTTAGTCAAACACATGATTGTCCAAACAATATGTCAAACTTTTATATTTCCCAAATCTTTAATGACTTTCTTTTCAGGAACGTCTGAACTAGGTGTCATACAGTCTCGTGACTGCACGCCTAAAACTGACTGATACTGAAAAGTTGAAATAGATTTTTTTTTAGAATCTTAAATAAGTTTGAGAAAAGCTTGTCGGAATTTTTATAGCGTTAATCACACAACTGACCTACATGACCTACATGACGTTTTTTCTGAAAAGGTTCCGAACTCTAACAAAAGAAAAGGCCGCTGAATCATCGATACATTACATACCTAAACAAGTTGGTCCAGTCCAGCCTACGGGACATTGGCATTCGTAGTGATAATCCTTCTTGATACATAATCCATAGTTGTTACATGGATTAGGATTACACGGATCTGTCGAAACTTGTGTTGCTTAAATGATAAAAAAGAGGAAAATATCAAACTAAATATTTATTAAATAAATGCATAAATCAAATAACGAATATTATTAAAAAGAAATTCAGTAACAATTCGTTTTAAGAATTATGAATGAAAAGACGTATACTTCAATGAGACTACAATCTTTGGACACAACCAAAAACTTCTAGAGTCAAAAGACAGTATTGGGCAGTTTTAAGATGTCTATACAATAAATGATGCTAAACAAAAAATTATTCATGTTAAACACATTTCTTGTACTTTAAATGCCATAAATTTAATTGGTTTTGTTGCATTTTTTCAGCATTTCTGAAAGGTGCATACATTATTTTTAAAGAGGCGGAAAATACAATGGGGACATTCAAAACTCATAAATCGCCGAAAACCTGACAATGCCATGGCAAAAAAAAGGAAAACGATGAAAAAGTTCACAAAACACAGCATAGAAAACTAAAGATTGAGCAACACGAAACCCACAAAAAAAACGGGGGTGAACTCAAGTGCTCCTTAAGGGTTCGCAGTTTCTTCTCCATGTGTGGCACCCGTCGTGTTGCTCCCTTTTCAAGTTTCCATAATTAGTTTGATCTCTTTGATAAATGAAGAATTAATATATATCTATATCTATAAGCACGTAATCTAGCGTATTATAATTGAAATGACTAAAGGAGGTACAATATAAATTTGTAGCTCCATGATAGCCTATTCTTATCATACACGGTTGCATCATTCTTCTTAATAACAATACGGTAACGAAATAACAACCTCTCTCACTGTCATTTCTGCTTTGAAGGTATGGGGAAAAACTTCACCACAAAGATACGCAAGATATAAATTGCCTAATCAAATGCACGTGAATTGGTAAAAGAGATTTACTAGGCATTTCGTCTTCGACTAATCATTTGCTATTATTTTAGTGTTGCAGTTGAAATTAAGGTGGTACCAAACACGTTGACGAAAAATTAATTTGGCTCCTTTGATTTTTATAAAATATTGACAAAAAATTTACTTTGACCCTTTGACAAAAATATAAAAATTTCAATAAACTTGAATCACTCACTTTATCGGAAATAAATTCATTGATATATAGCAGTTTGACCAACACTAATTTTGATCATTGAGAAGCTTAATATTTCCTTAAAAATATAACGTGATTAAAACGTTCAGCTGATTTTTAGAGAGTTATCTCCCTGTAGTGTTATGTACCACCTAAACGAACATAGGAAAATGGAAAACCTGATTGTATTCTGTGTATGTAAGTGAACTGAACACGCTTTCGAGTGACCATTGTCTATCAAATTACAGAAAATCATGGCGTCTACTCAAAGTATTTTGGAATTTTGGAATTTAAAGGTACCTAAGAAAAAATGAAAACAATACGTTATAAATTTCATGCAACCGAAGCGCTTTTCTGGATTTACCTTTATTAGGAACGCTCAAAGCCGAATATTTGAAAGTCAAGCATGTAGAAGAGCAAACAGCTGAAGAGCTATATTATCAAACAGGACCATAAAAATGTAGCCAAATCCATCTAAGGTCAACTTTGCCTAAGGGACGCATGACCATATCAACGCAAAACGTAAAACTTGCCTTCCATGACGTCATAGTTTTTTTATTAGACCTATCGGCGATGTTCTATATATTTCTTTTGATATCGCACATACAGAGGCATCGGTACACACCTTGTTTTTATATTACAAAGTAGCAAAAGTTCAGATAGAAAATTGAATTAATATGATAAAGCGACAAAAAAAAAAAACATATACTTACACCAAACATCTTCGTAGTGCTCCTCAGATAGGAGGCTTACATAGCGCATATTTCACATACATATAATTAACAAGCGATAATGTTTGTACATAGGGGCTTGTGGAATGGACACCCGTTTTAAAATATTAAAACACAAAACAAAAATATTAAGAAAAGAAGGGGGTCCATTCTCCTAAGCGCTTGCGTGTTCATATACTAGTTTATACTTACATCCGCATTGTGACGAAGGTATTTTTATTCCTTTACCGCTGGTATAGAAAAAGGCATTGCATCCGCCGCAGTAATTGTTACTAGAAATATATATAAGTAATATATCAGGGTATACTATATAACCACACCTAAGGTACACGTACTCAATACTTAAAAGGATAACATAAAGAGTTAGGACTAGTTTCCCATTAATTTATTTCACACCCGGCGAATATTTACTATTACAACTTCATGTGTGTACTTTTAGATCCTAACAATGAATTGTTTGGCTTAATTTTTAAGAGATATCTAAATCATTTAAACTCTTGTGAAGGCGTAGCCGAAACCGTAATCTAGGCAGATTTTGAAAATTTGTGAGTATTTATCCCCAAAAATTACACGAAGAAAATTCTTAACCATAACCCCAAAACTCTGTTTGATTTAAATCTATATATATATATATATATCTCGTTAACGCAGTATTTCATTTCGGTAAGCATAATCTGTTGATGCAAAATTCGGCAAAAACCGATAAAATTATTAATTCTGTGTTAACAGGAAGTTACGTTTAGCGCTGAAATTTCTTTTATCATAATTATGGAAAAAGGTTCAGTATATACTTGTACTATAGGCTCTAAGGTACAATTGTTGAGAAATGTTTAGGTATATACTTGTACTATGGGCTCTCAGGTACAGTTGTTGAGAATTGATTAAGTATTTAATAGATTAAAATTCCATTAAGATTACACTTTAGATAGAGAAAATGTATTTCTTTTTGTTTTTAGCCAGCCCAATAATTATTTCTTTGTTGATATAATATTATTATTGCTTTAAAAGATTGAAAGAATTGATTTACTTAAAATAAAAAAAAACCGTAAATCAGAAACAAGCAATCTACTAAAACGTCACGGAATAGTTGAACAGCTTGATACAAAAATACGAAATTCAGAAACGTCAATCATTGACTAACTTCACGGAGAGTACGGTTAGATGAAACACTTGGTGGTAAATGTCCAGTTGCAAATATTACACTATATCAGATAAAGAAAGGCAACAGTTGTATACCACTGTTCAATAGTCATAGATCGATTAAGCGAAAACAAATCCGGGTCACAAACCAAAACCGAAGGAAAGATATCATCTATCAGAATAAAACAACGGAACAACAGAAACACTGAACTGCAACAGAAGCAAACGCCAACAAACATAGAAACGGACTGTAGATAACAACTGCCAAATTCCTGACTTGGTACAGGACTTTTTAAGAAAAAAAAATGGTGAGTTTAACCTGGTTTAATGGCTAGCCAAACCTCCCGCTTATATGGCAATGTTAAATATACCGCTAAAATGACAACATTACGTGACAGGAATACAGTTCAAATAAACGCAAGAACACTCAGGACAGAGAAAAACATAAATGAATAACATAATAGTACATTACAACATGTAAACCACAGAATAACAACTGACACATCCCATGAATCTACGACAGCACGAGAAAGAGAACATGTTATTGTGATAAGAACATGAACTCTTCTTAGTACTAGACAGAACCTATTAGCCGGATTTTAAACGTTTTGTAACACAAGGGAAAAGTTCTCATGAAGAAATATTACCCTACCCACATCCATTATTCTCACTCCGAGTCTTTGCTCTTGCCTCTAAATGCCGCATACATAGCAAAAATGCAGCAAATACTCAGTCTTGATTTTGATCAGTCGCCTATAGCAAGTAAGCTACCAGGGAACCACCGAGATAAAGATGTGCATGTAGCAGGAGAGTATGGATTAGGGTTTTATAAATACAATTTTAAGTTAAGCACTCTAGATAGAAAAGGGGGTGAGATCTTAAAAGGCTATTTCCACCTTATTACATGTTTAAGTGCCTGACTCAGACAAGGATATTCGTTTATAGCTGTCAGATCTTCATGTAAGTTAAGGTTTTCGTGATGTTCTTTCGTAGATTTTTTTGGGAAGAAAGATCTTGTATTCTCTGTAAAATGTATTTCGCGTCAAGTTGAAAATATGTCATGCTAAAACGAGAAATAATTGACAATAAATCGTATAGACTAGCGCTTGAGAATTACGTCTCCCGGCTTGGCAGGATGGAAATTTGGATTGCTATTGGAAAAATAGGGACAGGTTGGCTAGGGAATATTAACTTGCAACAGGCAACACTACGGACCCCTCAAATTGTAGTTGGAAGGTTTCCAAACGTGTATAGAACGTGACAACTTATACTTGCAGTTGTACTATTCGACAAAAGAACCTTATTTAATAAAATCACGAGAACACGTAATCTACGGTATCATTTTGTGTTTATTCCTTAAATAGATAAGCTTATATATAAGTTGTATTTTAAATGCAGCGTACTATGCCTTATTAATGTAACAAAGTTGTTATATTTCACTTGTTGTTCTTTCTTCTGATTTTCTTGGTTAAAACGGTAGCAGTAATAATAGCACAAATTATACACCTATTTAATAAAGGATCAAATGAATATTTTAGACTGGTATCTTACCAACAAAATGCATTTTTGTAATTGGCACAGGTGTGTACTTCACACGGAGCTATAGCACATGATGTAAACGGAAGTTGCACAGAACAAGTGAAGACTGGACACTGAAACTCTGTTAAAATAATCACACTATACATAAAGTATCAAAAAGTATTATAACAATGTCATGCGTAAATGTAAATTATTCGGCATTCACATGTTGCTACAGTTTGAATAATTACACAATATGGCATTTTTTTTTAAATTGTACCAGTTGTCGTTCTTTTTGCAATTTCTCAAATAAACATATCAAAATAACTAACAAAAAGTAATATCGTTAACTCACAACGAACTAAGCTGCAACAGAATTTTTTTTCTTGTACATCTTTGTATGGTGATATTTTTTAGGCAATCCTAATAATGTTTATTTTGGCTCTTCCATTTAACATTCGATATAAAGCAGAAAACATCTAACGAAAACACAGACCTGACGTGGCAGCGTATCTATACATTCCACAACAAAAAGACACCATGTAATGATTTGAGAGTACTCGCAGTTAATGACAGGCAGTTCAAAGCCACTAAAAACTAATAAAAAAATCATGTATCTAAGATAGTCTTATATTATAATTAAAACAAATAAGAATTTGACTAGACTAGTATTACCTCCACAAGTTAGTCCATGCCAGTTCCCTTTACATTGACATACAAAGCCATCTGTTCCATATATCTCACACGTTCCGCCATTTTGGCAAGGGTTTGTGTCACAAGCTGTATTACGGTCTGTTAAAAACACACAATAACTAGAGTTATTAGTTTTATAAACAATAGTTTGATCATCTTTGCATGAAATTAGTGATGAACCAATCATTTTCCTGTTTTTCTTATATTTATGATATTAAAAGAGCAGGAATGAATAAACAGTTTAATCACAAATGCAAAAGAAACGGCTATGCTGAAGATGACCGCAGTATGGTGGCAAGTGAAAGTGGTAAAGTATGTATAAAAAGCGACTAGGGTTAAATTGGAAACCTGGAACAATAATTTGCTGCGTCCTTCCTCTTTTATTATGCCATTTATTAAAGGTTTCTTTTCAGTCAAGTACATGTACATGTACATGTATACATAAACATCTTAAAAATAAATTAATTTTTTCCATTTTAAAACCTAATTTTTCTTTATTTGCTGTTGTGTTAAGAAAGAAGAATGCTCCATATAGAAACTCGTAGGTTTATTGCATTCTGACGAAAATGTTTAATTCTTTTTGTCTTTTTGCAGTAAAAGGGTTTTAAAACAATCACCATCATGCTTGAATCGTACATTATTCGTTGTTGTATCTAAATCCTTATTGTATAAGATGAAGTTATTTTTGTTTGACATTTAACCTGCCAAAAACTGGCCGTGTGAAATTCCAGAAAAATCTCAGTGGTGGTCCGAAGACAATGAGAACTGACCAGACTTTAAAAGTGATCTACATATTATACTATAAACTAGTAATTTATTTACTCGAGAAATGTCTGGATCTTTGCAATGTTTTAAGAAGATCATGTTCATGCGGTCATTTATACAAATCCTAGCTCCTCGAGTCGACAATAACTAGGCTGAAAAGTAATGCACATACATGGAGCAAATAATACACATGAAACAAGCGTCTGTAATAATTTAGATGAAATGCTATATCAAAATAAAAAGATGTGGTTTTATAACCAATGAGACAAATCTACACAAGAGACCAAATGACACAGAAATTAACAACTCTAGGTCACCGTTCGGCCTTCAACAATGAGTAAAACCCATACCACATAGTCAGCTATAAAGTACCAAAATGACAAATGTAAAACAATTCAATCGAGAAGACTAACGGCCTGATTTATGTACAAAATAATGAACGAAAAACAAATATGATACACAACAACAAACGACAACCACTTAATTACAGGCTCCTGACTTGGGACAGGCACATACAGAATGTGGCTGGGTTAAATCAGTTTGAAGGCACGCCAACCTTCCCCTATATACATACTTATACTATGATGTCTTTTAAGTTTTTATTATCAATATAACACCTGAACTCAATCAAACAATTTACGTGACTTTATTCGTTTGTGATGATATTTTAATGGCACACCTTTGTGTACATTCATGATAATTTAATATTTTCCATTGGAATCTTACCGTGAACCATTTAAGTCATTAAAGAAGGACGCTGAAATGTTGCCAACATTAGCGACATTACTTGTTTATTTGGACGAGTAACCAACCCGGCGATATTAATTTGTTAAATCGTCTTAAAAGGTACGCCCGTTACCCTCGTTATATAACAATGCAATAACAATGCACATTACCCTCGCCATATGATAACATCTTTTTTTCTCAGTGCTTCAAAAAAAACCCAAAAAAAACGCAAATATGTCGGGTTCCATAAAAAATGTAACGTAAATATATAGTGCTTCCATTAAGAATATAACGTAAATAATTCTTACATGGTGCTACCATAAAAGATAACGTAAATATATGGTACTTCTATAAAACTATGTCATGTCTCCATAAAAAAAGTATAACGTTAATATATCGTGCTTCCATTTAGAATATAACGTAAATAATTCTTATATGATGCTACCATAAAAATATAACGTAAATATATGGTGCTTCCATAAAAACATACCATACGTATATCATGTCTCCATAAATATAACGTTAATATATCGTGCTTCAATTAAGAAAACAACATAAATATCTCGTGTTTCCATAAAAATTAAACGTGCATATATCATGCCTGCATAAAAAATTTAACCTAAATATATCGTGTTTCCTTAAAAAAGGTTGATATAAATATATCGTGCTTCTATTAAGAAAGTAACGTAAATCCAATTTATTAATTATCTACTCTGTTATTGGACTTGGTATGATGAAAACTGCCTATGCAATACAAAAGTGTCAACTCGGTCAATACAGAATAACTCGGCCAATATTGATTTTTTTCCCGTATTGTCCGAGTTCTGATCCGGCCAATACAGGATTTCTGAACGTCTCTAGTTTTTAGATCGAAAGTCTTGAAATGATAAAGACAAACTTAATGTAAACGGTCGTTTCGAAGGTGCTGTTTTATTTACTAACCATAAACATGCCGAAACGTTCAATGTGGCAAATATTTCAGGCTGAAGACGGTCACATTTATTTAAAAAACATTTTGTAAGCAGATAGTTGAACTATTTCAGGTTTTTGCAACGAGTCTGTAGATTATCACAAAGCTCATTTCTTGTCGAGCTCATAACTACGGTTACAGTTTTATGGGTGCATTTCAATTTACTGTTCACTTTCGCTTCTACATTGTAGGTATCATGTATTTTTCAAACCGAACCAGGCATATGGATTGTAGAAAGATGAACTGTAATTTATTGTTCAAATCTTTGTTCTTTGGTCATTGTCTATGGATAGTTGTCTTATTGGCAATCATATTCAATTCCTATTTGTATTTAATACTTTTGTTTCTGAATCTCTCGTGCAATGGCAGTACCTTTCCAATTACTATTTATGTGTTGCGTCTAAATATGTATTGTAACACTTTATAGTGACTGACAAGGGTTATCAAATCATCAAAAAATGTAGAAGACACTTCCAAACAGCACCAGGTCAAAGAGGAAACTCAGATTTGGATAGTTCAATTTCAAGGTAAAACATGTAAAAATCTTGTATAAGGAAATAAAACACAAAAAAAACCAGGTAAACACTGTCACTGTAGTTAATTAATAAAGATATCTTTACTTGATTATTTCTGTATTGGCTTAGTTATTGGTCCGAGGCTTGCTGTATTGGCCTGAGGCTTCGCTTCGCCTCAGGCCAATACAGCAAGCCTCGGACCAATAGCAAGGCCAACACAGAAATAATCACGTAATAATATCATAGTATATAACGTGTGTTGTACACCGGCATATACGGGAATAACCGTAATGCCGATATTTTACTCTTACGAACTACTATTATCCTGGAAATTTCAAATTTTATGAAGTAAATATATCTACAAGTATTAACAAGCAGTTCTCTTATTTAAGATCGTAATTAATATTGATGAATTGTATTTTTATTTTGTATATTTATGCCACACCCGGCGGAGGGGGTATTAAGTGTCACCCTTGTCCGTCCGTACGTCCGTCTATTCGTACGTCCGACGTCCGTCACTCCGTACATTGTATGTACTTACATCTCAAAACTAGTTTCCGTTATCTAACTTAATTTTGCTTCAACAAAATGTTATGAAACTTATACACAGGGCTCATTACCACAAAACACAGATCAAGTTTGGGTGGCGTCACTTTTACCGTTCTCGTGTTATGTTCCTTTATATATTGAAAATCGCTGAATTTTTCGTTTCTGTTCTCTGACTTTAGTTTGCCTCAACAAATTTGATGAAACTAACACACGATGCTTATTACCACAAAACTAAGATCAAGTTCAAATTTGGGTGGCGTTACTTTTACCGTTCTCGAGTTATGCTCCTTTATAAATGGAAAAATTGCTGAATTTTTCGTTTCCGTTCTCTAACTATAGTTTGCCTCAACAAAATGTTATGAAGATTTTGTAAAGAATAACTTTATTGGATATTGTTTAAAAATATATGCTGAATAAATTCAATAAAAACAAAAACAAAAAAAGGAAATGACACTAGACTTCAATTGAAGATAGGAGAATATGATGTGCTTACATTTATTATCCGAAAAAGAAGAACAGATTAACAAACTTAACAATGGTGATCCAATTATATTATACTTTTATCTCGATTAAATAATACTTATTCCCGTCCAGTAATTTTAAATCTTAAATGGACAACCACACGAACATTATCACAAACCAAATTTAAATATTACTAGAGACACATAATACAACATGTCTCTGATATTTATGATACAGCAGACACTAAAAAAAAAATTCAAATATATTTAGAACCACCGCTCGTAACCCCCATTATTTTGTTTTTACGTATCGAACAAGCCGTATGTGCAACTGGACCAAATATATCTGTTACCATTCAGTTATTCTTTAAACAAATAAAAGTGAAGGAAGGGTCATTAACGACCTTGTAATCTAGCATCGCTCTTCAACCACATATATCATCTGATGTAAAAAAAAAATAGGAAGACAGTCGTTCATGTACAGTACATGTACGGATTATTTCAAAGTTAGCGGCGCTAACCTGTATATGTATACATATGGTAAATTTTGACAATTATTTACCGGTAAAATGGAATATTACCGATTACTTATAAAACAGGGTTTGCCTGTCTGCTATTAAGGATTCGTATGAACAATTCTTTTATTTTGAGTAGTATTCTTAAAATTTGTATTACAGGTACTATAATATTCATGCATCTTAGCTTGTATATATTATATTGCAAATTTTTAACATAAACTGCACGAGATATTTATTTTTGGCATTATTTAAACATATTACATATTTCTAACTATATATACACTGAACAACCACGGAAACCCCATTAGTTTGACACCCCAATAATCCGACAGCCTATTGATCCGACACCCCAATAGTACGACACCCTAATAGTCCGACATCCCATTGGTTCGAAACATCATTAGTCCGCATCGGAATATTTAAAAAAAAAAAAATTTTATATTACAAAGCCAAGCAAAAGGACCTAGTCCTTCGTGTGAAATTATGAATATAGGTATTACTGAAGTAATAGAATTTCATCACCAACTATAAACACAAATTTAAATACTTTTTAAAGTGTTATCGAATTACTTATATATCTCTGGATATATTGTCT